CTCTATCGAGATTCTCCAGGTTGGCCAATCAGAGATGTTTCCTGCATACATCGCGGGGTCGGGGAGACGAGGGCGAGGTCGTCGACTCTGGTTATTATCGCTGGTTGATTCGATTGGTATCCCTTGTGGTTCCGTGGGTGGTTCGGGAGCGGCCCGCTCCTGGGACCGAACCACTAATTCTTCGAGTCTTCTAATTCTCTCATCGGTACTAATACTTGTCTGACTGATGTGCTGCATCAACGTCCTGGCCCACTCGGGTGGGCTCGACGGTTCGCTTGCAGCCATGATGATGAAGATATTCGTTTTCTTCTCGTGTTTGAATCGGATGCTTTCCGTCTTCAATTCGTTTGTAGGATGCTCAACTAGATACTTTCTAAGAGCTTTTCGTATTCGTTGGTATGCTCGATCGGATTCTTTCCGAGAGCGATTCGTTCGTCTGTCGTATGTGGCTCGATCAGATACTTTCTGAGAGCGCTTTTCTTATCGTCGGTCGTGGGTTTTACTCTCGTTAGAGGAAGGATTTTGTATGTGAAGGGCTAAAGCTAATCTTAAATTCAGAACTAGCTAGGCACATGCTGTTTACAAAATCCTTGAAGAACGTGAACAATTCGGGGTGGAATCGTGAGGTATGCGGTTGGTGGGTCACGTGGTACAACCACGTGATAGTTCACCAGGATTCAACCTGTTACATTCCAGTGCCATAGTGTTTGTTTCATGGCCTATGTTTTAGAGCAACTTTTGGAGTCGGCTGACTAATGGATGGCCAAAGCGATGGTGTAGTCGTCTAAGCTCAGTATCGGTCAGGAAGCAAGGGTTTATGCTAAACGATATGCTTAGGTACGAGGAGAGGGGTGCGTCCTATAGCATGAAGGGGTGTCTAAAACAGCGGATAATAGGTATTTCATCATGCTTGCCTGGTTTTGAAGTGATGATTATATTCCTAAGGTTGTTATAGTATACTCCAAGGTTGTCTATATCCGCTAGATATAGTAGGAATAGGGTGTCTATATTAACAATGTGGAATTGAATGTTGCTAATAGGAGTAGAGATTTTTGCTGATCCGATCGAAGAAGTTGTTCTAATTCCGAATTAGACGTCTACTTCGCTAGCTATAGAGGTATCCAATTTGATGTTCTCAATCCTCTAGAGCGCTTAGAACTGGCCAAAACCGGCTGTAGATTTTCTTGAGGCTCCGGTGTCGATCATGATTCCCATAAAATTTTGGGAACTATATCGGCTGATAGGCATAGTAGTGTAGCTAAATAGGTCAGAGTTAGCTAGCGAAGTATGCTCTAGTAGGCGAGAGTTGTCGAAAAGCGAATACAAGAACACTCTATTAGCAAGTTCTGAGCTCGTTGCTACAGCTTGCTTAGCAGTAATTAAGCCGAATAAGGTAAAGAAGGTATCAACGTGGTCATATTCTTCTTCACTAGAGTCTGTTCCTTCGGTCTAGAGGGCAATGGTTTAGGTGTCGACCAGAAGGGCTTCAAAGGCTTCTATTTGTTCGCTCTCGTCGTCTCCTTTATAATATACCATGTACTGCCTATATCGCTTATTGAAGTCACCGTTTTTCTCCTTATTGTTGTTGAATCCCTGGAGGAACTTTTGCTTAGATTGCCTTTGTTCCTCCTCACTATGTCTCCAAGATCGGCAGGTTGGTTTCTGGCAGATATAGCATTTTCCCTATAGGTTTCTTTTGGTCTGATTCCTGGTGAGTCCTCTTCCTTGATTGCCGTCTCTATAGTATCGTCTATCGGTGTAGAATGTTTCTTCTAAGGCGAATACTACTTACCTCTCGGGGTTTTCTTTCTCCCAGGTGGTGATTAATGACTATAGTTTATTGATCAATACCGCGAGGTCTTCTGGTGGATCAGAAAGTACGTTACTATATACTAGGACTCCTCTATAGGCTATGATAAGCTTATTAATAAGGTTCATGTTGCTCCTAAGTTCTGGGTGAAGACCATATCGCTTTCTAAGGAGGTCATTAAGCATGGATTAGAAATTCTGATAGATTAAGTTTAGGCTGTTAGAGTTGTCGTTTATCACTCTTTATAGTGTGATATCGTTCTATTTGATCAAGTTTTGGCGGTAGAATTCGGGACCTTCAAAGAATTGGCGTAGATGGTTATACACTTCTTGGAATGTTCGCGAAGGTAAATCACTACTATAGTAATGATCTTCAGCGATTCCGGTAAGCATTATTGGAAATGCTATATTATAACCATCTGGTGTTATCCTAACTCTTTTATAGATGGTGTAGAAGATATTAAGTTTCTAGTTAAAGCTGCTATTATCTGTCCCACTATATCTCTGTTTCTTAGTATAAATCTTTGACATAGAGTTGATCTCTTTAGTGAAATCAGTCTTCAACTTCTTAGTTTCAAAGATAAATAGGCTAGTCTCTGGAGAAAACTGATTAGGAACGCCTAGAGTGTCCTCTGGCAAGGATTTGTCGCTTCCTTGGTCAGGATGACTACTTCTAGGGGCGGACGTATTGATTTTTGGTGTAATCAGGCGGTCCGCTTATAGGGGCAGAGTGCCTTATAAAGGCTGCTTCAATCTAGTACAGGTCGGGTTAAGGCGGTATCTTAGTGCTCTAGTGATCATTGGCATCTTAAATTCCGTGAAGAAGCTTTCAATATCTTCGTCTATCCATTCGTGGAACTCCTCTTGTTGGGCTACTATGGATAGTAGGGTGTAAATTGCTATTCCTCGACCAAATCGTGGAACAAATACTCCATGCTGAAGTAGATTCGTCTGTAATGCTGTTTGTCTTAGAGGTGCGACTTGCTTAAAGTGTTCTGGTTCCCAGTTTTCGAAAAGGTCGTAGTATGTTGCCTATAGGTTATAATCTGATGTTCTGTCATCGAAATGCATGTTCTTTTCAACGTAGTCATTTATCTCTCGCTTTATGGCTGTCGCTAAATTGATTTCCTAATCATAGTCATCGTTGATTGATTGAGCTGATTCAGCGGCTGAAGGTGGTGTAGACATAGTGTAAAGCAGTATGGGTTTTTCAGAAATGTTAAGATGGTGTAGCAGTATATGAGATAGGTCACTTTTGGGTTTCCTGGATTTTGAATGCAGGGATATGCAAGGTTGGAGGGCGAGGATGAGGGGATTTGAGCGGTCAAGGATATGCAAGTAAGAGAAATAGGATAAGGGGATTTAGGCGGTCAGGGATATATAAGTATAAGAAAAATGAAGGGATTTGAAAGGAATGGAGGAAAATGAGAGGGAAGTATGGTAGTGTTTTTCAGTGTTTTTCAGTGTTTTTGGACGTTCTTCATAGACCTTGGGGCTTCTATAAAGTAGGTTCTTAGCAAGATGGTGTAATTCTCGGCGATCGTTCAAGCCTCAAATTATCACGATCTTCTCCTTCGACTGAGATATGGCAAGGACTTAGCGAATCTGGAAAAACAGCTTTTGAAGACTGTTCAACGCGCTCGAGCTTCGTAGATGCGTATTTCCTGATCTGTACGTCTACTGATCAGTGTCGGTTGACTAGGTTATTACCGAAGCAGACAGCTATTGATATCGTTTCTGTACATATATAATAGGTGTATGCATATTGGGTAAAAGTGAAGTGTCATTCTAAAATGCTCAGGTGAAAGAAGATATAGTAGCTGCCATGCCAAGATCACATGATCTTGGTATGTCAGCTGATATTCGTTCCAACAATTCCCAATGCCATAAGCTATATATCCCCAAAGACGCCGAAAGGGCACTCCAGAAGCTATAATATAGGGACGAACACATAATTTGGGACTCATTAATCATAAGTCTGAACACCACGCTATGATAGAGACTCGGCGAGGACAATGGCGATCGCCAGAAGTTCAAATCATAATAGGTGACGGCCGAGGCTTATGCACACGAATCGGCAGGAACGGAAGAGCCACTAGAGAGCAAGACGGGTCTACAAGGGCGCAAGAAAAGATAGGGACTCCTATAACCAAGATTCTGAAGCTAACAATCTTATTACATGTATATGACGAGAAGGGCAAATTGGGTCTTGTGGCACGCAAAATGATGGTCAATCCGTCGGATCCATCCCATGTGAAGCAAATGGCGGTAAAGAAGAATAGTTACCTAGACTCGTCCCATACTATTACCATATTCCACTTAAACGGTCTTCTCCCCTATGTCGATTTAATCAGGGTTGTGGCAATTACTCTGACGGCTTGTGAGATCATACTGTTGAAATGGTGCATTGCGGATTCTTGAATACCTTCTTCAGAGAAGTCGAGACGCACACTATCTCAGAGTAAGATTATAATTCTATCTTCAGTGTTAGTTGTGCAGGAAAAATCCCCTCATTACCACCCCTAAATCTAGGGATGAATGATTCCGATACTAAGCGCATGTAACAAAAAGTCATATTTCGATTCAAGTGTGGGTCTTCTTGGTGAGATGTCCCTTTTGGTTGCATCACATGAAACGGCAAGGACTATTATAGCTAGAGTCCTACATATAGTATGTTCGAGCCAATAGCATATGGAAGATACCATATGGAATGTGCACTATGTGAGGAGCTGAAGAAGTAATATAAAAGAATGGAACAGCACGTAGCACGAGCATTTTTCTCAGAAACGCAAGATAATGCCTTGCATAAAACTCTAAATACACTATATCTCAAGAACTTCATTTCTGATTATTCCACATGGTACGTAAGTATACAATATACAGAATGCTATAGATAAACCCTGTAAGAAAAGATTCATATAAGGATCGAGATTCTATGTAATTCTTAGAAACCTCATTCAAAGTTAGCAAATTGGCATTCGATACCTGTCAATTTCGCCATGTCTTGTCGTTTCAAAAATCAATCTGCTTTCGAAGACCTTCCTACCGTGGGCTCTCAAGTGAAAGCGTTTCTCACACTTATTCATTACATATGGATCAAATGTCTTACTCTTCTACCCTATATCATACCTGATCCTTTGAAGGACTTACCGCGGGTCTATGGATATCCTATACTAGGGGTTCTTCCCCAAATGTGTACTCAAGGGCTATACGGCCCCACAATGATTTCCATGTTCAACGCAGCCGAAGAAGAGGGCATATCTTGCTCTTGGATTGGTACAATTCCAGTGATCTACCTACGTGATCCAGAAATCATTCGGCACGTGCTAGTTGCAAATTCTGACTGCATTAGCCGTCAGGGATCGAATGGACGGGGCCCTTTCGGAATCATGACGAGAATGACCGGAGAGGTGCCTGTGACCGCCGAGGGAGAAAACTGGCGCCGATGGAGGGCTAGCCTATTGAAGGGTTTCAATAGGACACAATCGCTGAAAAATGCGCTTCCAGGGATTGTAGCCATAGCTGACAGACATGTCCAGCGTCTGCTGCAAAAGAAAGAAGGCTCTGATATTCGAAGTGATATGGAGCAACTTGCTCTTGATGCTGCTTGGTACATCAGCCTGGGTGTCGACGACATGTCAGACTCTTCGGCGGAGCTTTTATCTATAATGTCAAGGTATGTAGAACTTGTTGGAAACCCGTCTCACCTGTGGCGTCATGCTGTTCGAAATATGATTTCAGCGAAGAAGTTTGAAGAGCCTGATTCTGTGGAGTCAAAGGTTGGAAAAGACATTTCAGGTTTTGTGGAGACACTTGTGGAAAAATATTCCCATCTTATTGACCCAGAAAATGAAAGTGACGGCCAGCAAGTCTTCAATATTCTCCGGCAAATTTCCAAGGAGTCTGGTGGCACTGCAGATTGTCCAATAACCTCGGATGTCCTCACTCAGGCGCGACAAATATTTTCTTTGGGTCACGAGGCTCCTACTCTGGTCTTGTTCTGGAGCATTTGTGAGCTCAACCTGCACCCGGAAATCGTCACCCAGCTGCGAGGGGAGTTGATGAAGAGTGGATGGGACAAAGAAAACCCAGACTACCACATGCTCATTAACTTGCCGCATCTCGATCATTTTCTCAATGAGATATTACGGGTGCACCCACCTATCTCAACCACTGCTCGTATCGTCACAAATCAGTTCAACTTAGTGACTCGGTCTGGTAAAGCAGTCACACTACCTGAGAGAACACAGATCTTCTCGTCTGTTCAACTTCTTCACTTGGATCCCAATGTTTGGGGCAGCGATGCCGATAAGTTTCACCCCGACAGATGGGGAGGCCTTTTACCCAACTCTTTAGAGAGTCGGTGCGAATATCTACCCTTTTTAGCTGGCCCAAGGCGCTGTACGAGCTCCAATTTTGTGCTTATCGAAATGAAAGCCATTCTAGCTGTTCTACTCTCTGAGGCAGATATAAGTATCCTCGACGCCGCCAGCGTGACGCCAAAGCTTGGAGGCGTAACACGCTCTACATTCCCAGTCGAGTTTCAAGTCAAGCCATATGTATCTTGAGATCTCACTATATAGCCAAGTGCGCCGGATTGGTTTTCAGTAGCTATCACAACAGTCAAATCCTTATCTTTCTTTGCGCTGCTGCCCTTTCTCATTTACTTACATGAAGACGACTCTGAAGAGCATTCCAAATTGAAATATCTTCACTCACAAATTTTCAAAAATTTCAAGTCACTCAATGTAGGTTGAAAAGGGAATGAAAATTAATAAGCCAAAACAAAAGCCAACAATCAAGAATCATGCATTAATCAAAGCCCAAAACTCAACTAAATTCTCCCTTTCTCCATCGAGAGGTCTGAACTAACCTTTGGTGGTTGCTGGGTTGTACTTTGCAATGCATCTTAGAAGTGTGGATATATTTTATTCAATCAGAAGCGATATAAAATGCGAGTGATAATTAAGTCAGATGGTACTATCTAGATAGATGGGAGCCACCAGATAGCTTCTCTACCTTTATTTCCTTAAAAATGCAGTTAAAAGACAATTAGTGTTGAGCGGATTGCCTCTAAATACCATATCAAATGCGACAAAACTGTCATCATTAGGACGGCTTGAGAAGAAAAGTGTATTCAAAGGCTGCTGACTCCCTTTATATTGCTTTTGGGGCAACGATCTTTTCAAGATTTAATTCTCGGTGCAAATCCTAGGTACTCCTAGACTCAGTGCTGTATTTTATTTGAATGCTGTTACATTCTACTGCTACTCTGATTCTATTGCTACTCTGATTCTATGAAGTCAAGAATGATGTTAGTGTTCTGATCTGTGCCACAAGGAATCCATATGAAATATGAAGTAAGGGGCTGGATGCAAGCTTCACGCATGACAAGATCATTCCTGTGTAACCTCCCCCGTCAAAGGATTTTAAATACATCAAACAGTCCTGGAGTGAGATTATTTGATACATAGTTTGAACTGGCTACTTTTTAATGCAAAGCGACATTGTTGGGACCCACTTCCCAAATCCCATATATTCGCCTTATCTGATTTATCTTCCCAAGTGTTGCCGCTGAGCTGCAGCGATGTCCATCGAAGGTGAATTTGACATTATTATCATTGGCGCCGGTATATCTGGTATCAATGCTGCATACAGAGTGCAAAAAGCCTTGCCTAATCATAGTTTCTCTATTATTGAGGCGCGTTCTGCAGTTGGCGGGACCTGGGATCTTTTCCGTTATCCAGGTATTCGAACTGATTCAGATGCACATACATATGGGTTTTCATGGCACCCATATCACACCAAAAGCCAATTTGTCCATGGCAGCTCTCTCCAACAATACATCATTGACGCGGCAACGCAACATGGGATCTATCAGCACGTTCGATTTGGCCATCAGCTTGTTGCCGCAGACTGGTCTTCTAGCAGTGGAAGCTGGAGACTCACAATCATCGTGCACTGCCAAAAAATAATTATGAATGCCCGATTCATTATATTTGCCACTGGATACTTCGACTACAACAATGCAAAGCCGATTGATATTCCTGGTCTAGAATCATTCCAGGGAGCTGTTGCCCACCCCCAGTTTTGGCCTGAAAATCTGGTTTATACAGACAGAAAGGTTGTTGTCATAGGCAGTGGCGCAACAGCCGTTTCACTTTTTCCAGCCATGGCAGAAACAGCTACTCATGTAACAATGTTGCAGCGAAGTCCGAGCTATGTGTTGCCTCTCCATTCAGGCTCAAGATCGACATTGTTAAAGGCTGTCTTACCCCGGTCTTTGGAGCACCGCATCAAAAGATATGCATGGCTGATGATAATGATGAGTTCGTACTATTTCTGTAACAAGTTTCCTTCTCTTGCAAGCAAGATTTATCGCGTATTTATCAAAGGCTACTTGCCAAGTGGAGTATCTGAAAATCCCCATTTCAGACCAGAGTATCCGCCATTTGCTCAACGGCCTAATGCATGCCCGAATGGGGATTTTTTCAGGCCTCTGGAAAGTGGGAAGGCAACGGTGGAGACTGGAGTCATCGACACCGTCAAATCAAACGGCATACTTCTCAAAAGTGAGATCTTTATTGAGGCTGACCTCATAGTCACCGCAACTGGGCTCAATTTGCAGATGGGAGGCGGTGTAGATATTACGATTGATGGGAAAGAATACGATCTTCCATCTAAGTTCATGTGGAATGGCGTAATGCTGCAGGATTTGCCAAATGCCTCAATGATTGTGGGATATTTGACCAGCGCTTCTTGGACTCTCGGAGCAGATGCAGCTGCGATACTGACCTGTCGGTTGATTCAATACCTTGAGAAAAATCAATTTGCGATCACTATCCCTCGCATGAAATCTCCTGAGAGGCTCGCTGAAAGACAGATTTGGGATCTCAAATCAAACTATCTTTTCGCTGGTAAGCGAAACCTACCTAATGCGTCAGACCGGGCCCCGTGGCAAGCACGTTCAAATTACATTTATGATTACCTTTTCGCACGTTTCGGTCGCCTCGACGAATGCATGGAGTTTTCCAAATGAAAAAATCTTGTCTTTCAGAAATGCTGAAGTCTCAGAACTTTAGAATACTACTAAGTGCGTCTAGATGATTGTTATATCAAGTCAAATATTCTTCATACTTAGCTTCTCAATATGGATTGGATTACAAATTGTGGTTGCAATATGAATTTCTGAGAAGTGGCTCTTTTGAAGCGATAATACGGGCGATAGAATATCTAGGTGTGTGTTGAATGAAGAATACTATAAAACAGCTGGCTAGGTATATATTATTGTTTGTTTAAAACCCTTTATTTGCTGGGACTTCAAGGGATGCCAATTTTTCGGGAGCTTCGTAGAATTGTTTACGTTTCTTTAAGAATTTTGCACATAGTATGTGCCTAGCTAGTTCTGAATTCAAGATTACCTTTAGCCCTTCACATACAAAATCCTTCCTCTAACGAGAGTAAAACCCACGACAGACGATAAGAAAAGCGCTCTCAGAAAGTATATGATTGAGCCACATAAGACAGACGAACGAATCGCTCTCGGAAAGGACCCGATTGAGCATACCGACGAATACGAAAAGCTCTTAGAAAACATCTAATTGAGCACTAGACATGTTCACTCAGGCAGCATCCAAGCAGTTGAAATGCCGATGGATTTGATCCACAGTGGAAGGAAAGCTGGTTTAGGCATAAGTACGATTGGCTTAAAACAGTGAAACAGCGATATGACCTAGAAGGTGTGTCTTGGTGTTAGATGCGTCGGAAACGAAGATTGGGAAGAGGTGAAAGGCGGCGCAACCTATGGACCACTATGTACTATTAACTAAAATTTCTAGAGTAGCCAATGTTGATATTCAAGTTTGGTTGCACAAGCCACAAAGTCATATCGTGTCTATCGGGCTTTCTAGAAACTATTGTAGGCCTTGTATATGTTGATATCATACTTCCTCAGACTTTCTCACATAAAATCTTCTTTGTTCCGTCTGTAGTCCTATTTCAGAAAATGTAATATTATTGAAGTATTTTTTAAAAATGGAATACGAAAAAACTCCAAATAATTCCATAATTGGCATCTTAATTAATCATACAGCCCCATCTTTTTTTTATATTGGCAGAGCGTTAAATAGATTTGAAAAATGAAGTATACGGAGGTCTCTTAAAACAGCTTAGACAAGGTCATAGAAACCAGAACAATATGTCCTACCAAGAATATATTGAGTTACAGCATGAACAAACTAAATAAGGCAATAGCTTAGGTGACTCGCTAGATAAATTGAAGCAATGAAACCTTAGAATAAGACTAGATATTTTCAGAATCAATTTTTGTTCAATAATTAATAGGCAAGCAGCAGGAATAAAAATTTATAAACTCGAACCTATGTCAAAGAGATTAGGAAGAAATAATGAATTTTAAAGCACTTAGGCAACATATTTCCATAGATAGGACTTAAGCGAAATCCCACGCGGCCAACATACATATATACTCTTGATTCCTTTCAAGGGCCAATGAATAGAATGGAAATTTCTACCATTCCTAGTTTAATGTCCAGAAGTTGAATTTTGATATGTTGGCAAAGCATTTTGATGACTTTGAGGGGTCATAGCTGGATATGGGCGTACTACAGGTCCCGCAGGAGGTTTTGAGCTCGTGTTCTTATCCTTGAAGAGGAATCCGAGGGCAAGACACATGGCTAGATCTTTTTTAAGAAGAATGATCTGGTGAAGACAGATCTATTCCAAATCATCTTGTTTAACCTGGCATGCTCCTGTGGAAGATTGATCAATGAACTCACATAGGAAGTTAGTACTTATATTATTATGTCTGTCTTGAGCTATAGGAAATATTTCAGAGCCAATATTTTCAAATGTAGTTCAGAAGCAAATATTATGTATCATGTGTCTTGTCGGCGCTGATATGAAGATATAGGAATTTGAATGTATGGGAATTATGCACCCAGAAGCAAACACTTGTACCTTTATATATCAATTCTCAAGATAAATCCACATACAACCATTTTTACTGCTTCATGGCTAACCCCAATCAGCCCTGAGTCAGGCCAATAAGGTACTTACCTCAATTCCCCACATCCTGTAGATCATGAGGTTTAATTTGAGCGCGCAATTAATTGCGCACTTTCCGCATAGTCCGAATGCACTCAGGCAATGCGGCTCTTCGCCTGATGATTGGCCCGTCGTGCGTGCTGCCGGACACTCCAGTGCGTGGGCCATCCATCCAAAGTGGATTTTGCGAGTTGAGGAATCCCTTAGGAGCTCTCACAATCCTTATAGGAGTCGATCAACTCCATAAGGATCTTGAAGTTTGAGATAAAGTCACTATAGCATGCCCGATGCCGCATGATCCTAGGTAAATTAAATTAAACTCAGCTCACATCAATCCATCTAGATGAACGGATCTGGATGCTGTCACGATCCTAGATCGACCTGTATTCTTCCGGATTGAGCTTGACCGCCTGCTGCGTAGTTATGAGTGCGCGACGCGATGTTAGATTACTTTCCTTCTCTAACCTGAAATTGTCGATACCACTAGACCAAAGTGGGGCACAGGACCAATGGTTCCGATGCTGTTGGTTCGACATGAAGTGAATCTAGCGAGTTTTGTCTATTTAGTTACAGCGAGGATAAGATTGAAGAACACACCTTTTACAACTTCGCATCGACGCACCTAGATCTATTCCATCAAGAATACCAGTTGCATATGCACCGTAAGAACGTCACCGTTCCGACAGAAATTCTAAGAAAAGTTGACACAACTTATTGCATACATCACGTAGAGTTTTTGGTCCGTCACAGATGGGGTAAATCTGCGGCGAAATCGTTATCTAGGTAAAAAGATCTTGGCACAGGAGCTAGTCAAACTCGGGATGTCCAGAATACTTCTGGACCCAAGAATATAGCCGAAGGAATCGTTGGTGAATGGAATTGAATGGGCTCAGTCCGATCATCTGATTGGTCGGATGGAGATCCATTTCCATTGGTCAGAAATAGTAGAGACATATACTATGTAATTATTTACCATCAAGTAAAGAGATCTCATTGTAATCTAACGACAATGAATAAGTCTATCGCCTTTAATCTTGAAAAGATTCTCAGTTTAAAGCTCGTCAGATAGTATTTCAGAAATAGTCTCATCCTCATAGACTTCCTCGCCTTCATATTCCTTCGAGCTTCACACTCGTGCCCACCCTCAGACGCCTGACAGACCTCGTGCTCCTGCCAAAACTCATGGTCCCCCTCTCCACCTCCATATTCCTCCTCATCCTGATCCCCTGTCTCATCTTCATTCCAAGCTGCATATACTTCTTCACTCAAATGTTGATGAAAATCAAATTCGAGCCCATTCAGTCCGACCTCATCAAATGCCATATCAAAACTGTCACAGCAGATTTGCGGCGATGAATTAATGACTTCAAGGTCAAAAATGAAATACTCGCAATCTGGCTCTGCATTGGTATCGATACTAGTGTAATCCGATGAAGAAAGCCCCGAAGGACAATGTACAAGGGTCATTATCGATATACATTTATCTCCCGAATTTTCATCATTGACATCATGTTCGTATGATGAGCCTGACCCATCAGTACTGACACAGATTTCTGCAGTATGACATGATATATCATCGAGGTCAGAGAGTGGAAGGAGTTGGTCGAAGATATGTGCTGGCGGACATTGTTGGAATGTGATTGCTCGGTTTATATAAGTTGCAGCAAGTGTGAGCAAAAAAAGACATTTTTAGCATATTGCGTTCATAGCACGTAAACAAGATGGTGCAAATGATAAGGCAAGTTGGGGTGCTTAGAGATCGAAGCAAATAGTTCCAAACTTGGAAGGGTCAATTCTGGTAACTAGAATTTTTAGTGACGCCAATTTTGTTGGGCAACTTTGGAAATCATAATAAATTTGGACTTTTTGACAGCTGAATGATACATGCGTGGAACTGAATAAAATACAGCTATAAATCGGCTTTAGATACCACTAAGTGGACAAGCCACTAGTTTCCGCATATGCCGGTCCATCAAAGTACATGTAAAATTTTCTAGTATTTACCTTAATGAGCTTGCGCCTTGCTTACTTGTCACGAAAGATCAATTCCAAATAAGTGAAGTACTCATTCACTTATCAGTTCTCAAAAAAATAAGACAATCATGTCCTCTTTAGAGACATGCAGTACACCCACGCTAAAAAATCGCGCTAAAAACTCCCATGGCTGAGCTATAATCACAGCATGCGGGGAAGTACGAGTACCCCAATTGGATAGGGAGAACTGTGGCTGGCTGTCATTCTCATTCAAAGCTTTTCAGCTCCCATTCATGACGCTTATCATTTCTTTTCTTAGACGAATGACAGCATGCGGAGAAGTACCGGTACTTCAATTGGATAGACAGAATACGCTGGAGAACTGTGGCTGGCTGTCATTCCTATCTAATAGGTCGCTTATAATTCCTTTTCTTAGATGAATGTATACCTACTGCCTATGGCACTAGGTAAATAGGAAACAAAAAGATGAGAGCTAGAAATAAAATTCTTGCCTCTACCTGGGTATCTTCTTCTAGTTTTCATCTCAATTCGCAAATATGAGTTTTCTTCAGGTCGCGGCTGTTGGGGATGACTGCTATCTTCTTCTGACCGACGGCACCATCAAAAGATGGACTCAAGGGTCATCTACCTCCTGGAAGATGGTTGATCACAACCCAGCAACTGTCCAAATTATTGGCAGTGAACCTTTTGCCCAGCGTCACAAATTGGGCCACCTCTATAAGAGGACGCCTGCGTGGACCCATTTTGGCGCTGACGCCACTAAGCTCTGGGGATCAAACAACCAATTTTGGAAATACCAGGAATCAAACGGCGGCACACTACACCAAATCGGTCCCCACACCAATGATACCTGGGAACAAACTGATTCAAACTGTCGCGTTAAAGACGTTGTTTTTTCGCCAAATCCAAATGGCACATATAACGTGTTTCAGTTGACCGAGGCTGGAAGGATTTTAATGTATCTGGGCCCTAGGGGAAAAGACTGGCAGCCGATCAATGAGGATACAGCTGAGGCTGATACCGTTGCCTTGGTATCCGACCCTAATGGCCTTTACAAAATGCATCGAAACGGGGTCATTTTCCAGTGGGAGGGCAGTGTGGAAGAAATGAAAAAGTGGAAGAGGATTAGTAGTGATCTAAGAACAGTGGCTGTTGCTGCGGGGAAAGCAGGCCTGTTCATGAAGATGAAGGACGGCAAGATCTATAAGAATTCTGGAGGGACTAGGTGGAACGCTGTTGTTACTCCTCCTGATACTGATCAGCTTGTGGTGGGTAACTCTGCCTACCAAGTGAACACCAAGGGAGAAATCTTTGTGCTACTGCATGACGGCAAGTGGAAAATTCTGAACGATGAGCCAGTAAAGCCACCGACCAAACCAGGGCCATCTGGTGGTGTTCAGCCCGCTGAGGCTTACAATGGAGGGTATAATACCGCAACTGAGACGCGTCTACGTATTGGCAATGGAGGCGCTGGCCAAACTAGGTTGATTGAAGGTCAGAAAAATTCTCTTTGCCTATTTGCTTTTTGTTTTCACATCAATTTGATAGATGGATGCTGATAATATGAAATATAGCTATTGGAAATGCCTTTATCAAATACAAGGTCTCTAAAGGGTCAGACCCTTTCATTGTGGCTTGGTATAAGAGTGATACTACAGAATCCATCCAATACCTTAAAGATGGAGTAGTCGATGCATGCATCACTTACACCCCAGCTGCCGAGGATATTGCCGTTAGTCAAGGAATCGCTCTTTCTAGTCACTACATTTTCCGAGAACACTTCTGCTTGGTCGGCCCAACCGATAACCACGCGAATCTTGACTACAAATCTTGTATCGGCACTCAATTCATCGCCTTATATAAGGCTGCATCAGAAGAATCTCCAGACAAGAAGACTGTTCGGTTTCTTAGTCGCTTTGATAAATCAGCAACCAATATCAAGGAATCCGAGCTTTGGCTCAAGGTTGGGCAAGCTCCTTGGGCGACTAAACGCTCTGCATGGTATCACGAGTTTATTGCCTACCCTATTCAGGCACTAGGTGCTGCAGCTGCTTTAGGCGAGTATACTCTCACTGATTATGGAACGTGGCTCTCAGTTGAATCGACAGTCCGTAATCAGCTAGCCATCTGCAAGAAGGGAGAGGATAAAGAAGACGATCCACTCTTGTTGCCAGCACATTTGCTGCTTGGGGCAAAGGCCCAAGATTTACCGCTAGCTAAAGAGTTTGCAGCTTGGATGACAGACAAGCAGGGCGGACAAGCGGTTATCACTGTCTTTAAGAAGAGTGACGAGCAGGTCTATTCAGTTGCTCCTTAGTTGCATTTCCTTCAAGTCTTTTCTTTACATACTTAAATTGTTCTCTACTGATTGCTCTGGTCTATTTGAATAGTTATAATATGATTATCACCATAATTCCCCCTAAATCCGTCATATAATAGTATGAAGAGAATAAGGGATTTTCTCTCCATCTCAGAGGGCTAAAATGTTAGAATTGAAACACCTCTTAGAGCGCTGAAGAATAATTACACCATGAGAATAATTTTCTGATACTAGATACTTCAAAAGTTGTCAAACACCCGTGGACGACATATAGTTGACATATAGTACTCTTACTACGTATTACTCACTTGCCACCTAAGCCTTTATTTGACATTCAATTATGGCATGTGAATATTCCAAAATTTAAGATCATTCATTTTTCTACTAAATAATTTACTCACAGGACCACAATAAAATAAGAAAGAGTCTGGTATTATATGCATAAAAAACAGATATTTGAAAATATCAAGATTTGAATGATTGATCTCGGCAATCTGACTTTCAATTTTCTGCTAGCTAGGCTGGATTAGGTGCAACAGGTATAACCAAGGCACCCACCGGGGCTTTTCTTGCAGTACCGCCTCTTGTAACAAGATTACAATGGCTTACTGGATCCCCAAACTTGTAATATGCCATCTTGCAACCTGGGGTTTTCTCACAAAATTCTATACACTGCAACCTGACTTTGTCGTTCTCTCGTATTGCTTTAACTGGACCTGTGCCTCCCACAGCTTCACATCCAAGATAATGAACAAAGCATTTGTCTCCACTTCTGTAGACTAATCCTCGGCCACACTTGTCCCCAACGCTAGTGGCAGGTGGATGTTGGGGGCAAAAGCCTCTCTCTTTTTAGGGCCTCGGTGATCTTTGTGGAACATTCGGTGTCTTTGTCTCTTTTTGCAGAATCAACCTCGCTAGTGCAATCCTTGGCCACGCAATCCTTCGAGCAATCCTTTGCTATTTCCTTATTCCCAATGACTGGAGTCAATCGAATACTTTTTCTCCCCTGTGGTGCTATACTGACCATAGTGATGCACCGACCATTCGAATAATCAGACCAGTATGAATCAACACAATTGGGGTCGTTGGTGCAAATATTAGCACATTCGAGGGGAGAATAGACAGTCATTGGTTGGGGATCGGGTTTGAGTTCTTGTTCGCAGTGGACATTATAGTCTTTCCCATTGAAGCTGATTGGTGCAGTAGTACCAGGGCCAATGAGGGGGCAGCAGTCACTATAGGCAGCTTTGCCTTTTTGAAGGCCTTGGACACATGATGGAGAAACTTGCTGGGCAACCACATAAGAAAGAAAGAGGAAAGGTAATATAGGCCACATCTTGAGAGAATGGAAGGTGATAACTTTGATATTGGAGGCGAAATAAATTATAAATAGTGGTGAAATTCCCCCATATCAATTTGTTTATCAAATACTACCTAGACTAGACTAGATATCATGATACAGAAAGCGCCAGAGAAAACCCATAGAATTGTGGGACCATCCCTATCAAATCACGGCATGGAACAAATCCCATTTCTCAGGACTTTCAATAAAATACAGCGATACCTAGAATACCAAGTAAATTTGAAGTGGTTTTCTCAAAAGAGTCTATCTTGCCGAGTATACTCAAGACCTCGGAACCTCGCGGGCTATAAACCATCATGTGAACAGACGAGCGGTCAGCCCGATTGGGGCAAAACTGAAACCGCATAGTACTTCGACAGCTGTCAGAGCGTTAATGGCGTTCGTGGCTGAGCTGAGCTACATAATAAATAAGTGGAACTCTCTAGCGTGGGTGTCATCCCCACTTATCATAGTTCTTCAGCTAGATCAGTCGATCGTTCCCCTTTTCAGCTAGGTATGATATTCACTCATAGATAATATAAGGGGAGCGTAGTCTTACATAGTGGAAATACCCATAGCGTGTCTCCATCAAGCAAGGATGTTCTTGTCTTTTCTGCTAGCCAGTGCTTTGTGCGTTGTTGTGAATGCTCAACAGCAACCTCTTTCTTCTTCTCCATCAGCTCACTCAATCACAATCGATGAGATCATCTTATCAACTGACTCCACCGGAAAAAACAAATGTTGCCCTGCCGGAACTCTTTTTAACGGTCAAAATTGTGTTTCACAGGCAGTATCAGTCTGCCCAGCCAAAACTCATCTGGAAGGGAACTCTTGTGTAAGTGATGGTCTGCCTGACTGCGGACCTGACGCAAAGTTTAGCCCTACTTCATTTTTGTGCATCTCAAATACACCGCCAAAGTGTCCACTTGGCTCTGATTTTGATAGCACCAGCAGAGTCTGTGTATCCTCACAACTTCCATACTGCGACGAAGATGATTTCGGATTCAACGGCCAGTCATGCATTTTTATAGGGGACAAAGCTTGTCCATCTGGATCATATCCCAAGGGTACAGAATGCGTTTCAAAGCAACCTCCAACATGTGAAGAAGGTTATAAGCTTGAGAACGGAACATGCACACATTCCCAGCCTCTAAAATGCCCAGACGCTAGTATGCTCCTAGAAAAGGGACTATGCATAGTGAAGAAACCACCAAGCTGCGGCCCTGGGTTTGAGTATAAAAACCAACGCTGCTCTCATTCTGAGAAGCCAACTTGTCAGAATGGTATATTAAAGAATACAAGCTGCGTGTCGCATGACGCCCCGAATTGTAAGACAGGCAAATTTAACGGAACGGTCTGCCAATCAGAGCAAGGCCCAGTTTGCTTTAGCTCCGATCTTCAAAACGGAGTATGCACCTCACCTCCTATGTGCGAAGATCCGACATTGTTTACCACAAATCCCAGTACCTCTAATGGAGGCTGCTGCTCACCCGGAACTAAGTTCGATAAGAGTAGATGTACTGAGCCAGACTGCTTCGCGGGATTCAAATTCAATGGCCAAGTCTGTGCATTTCATCAACCGCCAGCCTGTGAGGAGGACTCGTATCTGTCTGGCAAAATCTGCGTCCTTAACAACGAGAGCCCATTTTGTTCTACAGGAAAATTTGATTCCAAAACTGGCGCCTGCGTTCTCCCTGATCCTCCAAAGTGTCCAGTCGGATTGACCTTTTCAGTTAATACCGGTGATTGCTTTTCTACTACACAACCTGACTGCCCGCCTGGAATGGCATTACATGGTGACGATTGCATATCATCTAGCAAACCCGGCTGTCCTTCAGGACAAGCGTTGGTAGGTTCGGCTTGCATTACATCAAAACCAGCTCAGTGTCCATCGGGGACAACTATAGTTGGAGTCAGTGCCTGCATTCTCTCTACCGGCCCAGGCTGTCCACAAAATTCAGTGCATTCAAGTACCGATGAATGTGTCTCTATCAAGCAGCCCGTCTGTGGCGATCCATCTATCTTCAAGTATTCTGCAGGTGCATGCATTTCATCCAACTTCAGTTGCACTGATCCGACTCATGATTTGGTTCAAGAAGGCTGCTCAACTAGTGATCTTCCAGACTGTTCGCTGAACACAAACACGAACTTCGATGGATCAAAGTGTGTCTCTCCTAAAGATCCAGCATGTCCAAAGGGTTTAGTACTTAATAATTCCGATCCAAAAACCCCTGTCTGTGTCTCGACCACACCTCCACTGTGTCCATCTGGGACTAGCCTGGTTGGATTGAAATGCCAGTCATCTCCCATACCGACTCCATTCTGTCCATCACCACTGAAAGCGGACGACAAATCCTCTATGTGTATAACACCAGATAATCCACAGTGCCCCTCTGGAAGTACACTGATGAACAATGTTTGTGTGACTATCCAACCGCCAACCTGTCCTGATGGGGCTGTATACAAAGAAAAAAAGTGTGTCTCAACCAAAATTGTTCCCAGCTGTGCGTCGGGAATGGTGAAATATTTGGACACTACAGGAGTTGCTACCTGTTTAGCTGTTTTTGGGCCAACGTGTACGGATGGCACATTTTTGGATAAGGATAGTGGGAAGTGCATCTTATCAGTTGGCACAAGTTCGGGTTGTTTTGATATGCATTTCTGTCCGAGTTGATTAACGAGGCATTAAGTAGGGAGTTAGAACCCGTATGGTCCTAATACATGCATTTGTGTCCAGGCATTTCACAGTGTAGTTTTTGAGTTATGATGTTAGTTTTTTTTCGTCAAGGCTATATGGCTCCACAATTTAGAAGCTGAAAATTTGTCAAATTCATCGTTCTATTCCACCACATCAAAAGAAGATATATAATCAGCCTCAATATGATCAATTTTACATTACTAGCGACCAAAGGCTTGCAGGTGCACTCCTCAGTTCCCTGGGCCGAAAAGTTCGGATGTAAGTGAAAAGAAAGTTAAAATCCTCTTCTTCCGCTTTCTTTCCCTTTTCCTTCTTCCATCTCTTTTTCGCTGTCTTTCACAAATGAACTATTGATAACTAAAAGACCATCTAGACGGTGAGCCGAAATAGCAAATCAGAGAAATTAGCTCATTTCCGCTCTCGCGATTTAAGCACAGACCAGGTCTATTTTACGCTAGGTACGGAGGGCGATAGACATCACCATGCAAAAACCCCCAAAACAGTAAACAGATAACGTAGAAGTGGATCTTTGTATTGAACTAGTAATCCATCAGCATTACTCCATAGTTCCTGCGTCATAGTTATTGTCGATCAACTACGTTGAAAGGACAGGGTTCACACGTTGCACTATATACACTGGAAAAGGGTATGGTTCGTCGTAGATTCTTAGTATATACGTTGTGCAAAGTGGTGTGAAATGTGTTCGATTCATGTAGCTACTTGAGTTTCTAATATAGTCGTTCCCCCGTGACTCGGGGGTCTGTTTGTTCCGTTCCGGGTTTATGGTATTGCGCGATTGCAATATCCATGTTCCGACAGTTATTATAACATATCACATTGATAAATCATGCAAATCAAACCTGAATCAATGTAAGGTGGAGTTCAGCTCAGAAAAGAGATTAGTCAGTTCTAGCTCAATCTCAATACCTTAATACCCCACATGATCGACAGACGGGATCTTATGAGCTGAATCGTCCAGGTTGAACGGCATCATACCTTCACAGCTGATGCTGACCAATGCATTACGCTCCTTGCATCGAAGCTAGAGCATTTTCGTGATTTATATCATTACATATCACATTGGCGGGAAAAGCAATTTTCAAAATCCCCCTTACCGTTGGCATAAGAAGAAGTTATCTTCAAGTGTAATTGTCGGTTCACAGGGATCTCGATGCACTGTTACTACTACGTTGTACGTGTAATAAGTTATGCGGTAACCTGTGTGTCTATTCTAAGTTCCCGCGATGGAATAGGATATGCCCCGATTTCACTAGTTCTGTTCACTTCCCGAGTTCATTCACTGCAGTGAACCAGATTCCATTGGTTCCAACAGTAATTGTCGCGTAACAGAATACCGGCCGGCTTGCTCAAAGTACTCTATCAACTATTTTCTTCGGGATAATCATGAATGAATTTGACTTTAGTTCTCCTATCGAGTTCCAGGAGATACGATGGGTGGTAGGGTCGATCTTCCTCATTTCTGGAACAGGATGGCTGCTAAACTTGTTACCTTCGAAGCTCTACGCACGGAGTAGAGAGGATCAGATAGTCTGAAATATGATGAAGAAAGGTGATATTCTAACCTCCCAGCTTATCTGGGGAAATAACGGAAGGTGATTAAGTAGCTTAGTCACTGGAGTGTAATAATTGGCCCTATCGAAAGGAACTTGCTCGTCCTCGAGTAATAAAATTGAGCGCTAAATGTCGCTCGCTTGGCGAGCGTAGCTAGTGTAGTGGGGAGTCCTATACAGTATGAAGAAGAAAGCGGTCTGCAACGGCAGAACTGAAAAAGCACAAATCGGTAAATTCTGGCACTATCTAAAAGAAAGGCAAAACGAAAAAGGGTTCAAGGAATTTAGCCGTCTGTAAAGGATGGAGAACCATGCTGGACAATCATAATCCTTGAATTCCAGCTGCCAGACTTTCTTCGAGAGTCACCCATCCAGAACGTCCAAAGAAGCGCTTCAGAAGCTCTTCCGCTCTTTTGGCAGGCTTCACATCAGTCAGATCACGAACATCAACTGAGGGTGCGTTCGGGATTAGCGTGTTTTCTGGACGAAGCTGTTTCAGAATCGCAACTACATCGTTCCAGTTTTGGGGCTCTGCAAATGCGAAAATACGCTCATCCCGAACAGATGGATCCAAAAGCGCAACCAGATGCAACCTTGCACAGTCTTCCACATCAACAAACCACTCTATACTTTTTAATAAGCACTGCTATCAGTGAATTTGCAAGAGTGACATGACTTACGCGGCGGAAACAAGCTCATGATACCCCCTTCCCCTACAAGTAAACCCTTCACAAAAGCTTGTGTAGACCCTGGGATTTCCGGAGAAAGAATTCTTCCAAACTGGAGCCTTATCAGCATGTTAAAATATATCTTTCTGTGAGAAAACCTACATTGATAGGTGGAAGAACCGTATTGAAGACGAAACCAGGCCTATTTGCCTGATACCATTTCCAAGCCATTCTCTCAGTCTCCATTTTCATTGCAGAGTAGACTATGTGTGGCTTGATATGAGAAGGAGTTTGCTCGCTCCATGCAGCCTGTACAACGTCGATATTCCAGGTATCTATTAATGGTGAGTACTCTTATCATTCATATCTGTTTGACTCCCTTACCATGATCGATTACAAGGCCTTCAACGTTGGGATGGGGGAGATATGTAGCCGAGGAAGAAGAGGTCAGCACGAAACGTTTAACGCTCGGAGTTCGGTTGGCAACTTTTAAAAGATTGATGGTTGTGCCTACTGCATTCGGAATATACTCGCTAGCATCCGGGTTAAGTGACATATCCGCCGCCTACTTGAGGGTCAGTTCTAATGTCCACAAATGTTGAATAGAGAAGTTACCGTATGCAAAATTCCATCAACATCAAAGCATGCTTCATGAAACAGCTCTTCATTGCTGAGGTTCTCAATAATCACTGTCTCGAAGCGCCCAGATCCAAATTTTTGCTCAAATAGATCGTTGAGCCATGGTTTTGGCGCCCGTACAGTCCCGCGCACATTGTATCCAAAGCTTAGCAATTGGTCAACAACGTGGGATGCAATATATCCATTAGCGCCGGTAACCAAGACCAAAGACCCTATCGGAAGTGCAAGCTCAGTATGTGGCTCTGTTTTCGTCATGAGTAGTGCCAGGTATGAATTTTTCTTATGAAAGTAGCAAAGTAGCGAGTGATATATGAGCAGGTATATGAGTGTTGCCAGTCTTAATTTATGAGAATGAAAGAGAATGATCCTTGACAGAATTTCGGAAGAAACAGGATATTTTTGCCAACGCTTGGAATGGATATTCATTCCTCCCACGGAAAGGGCTCGCCGTAAATCACGAGACGACATTTGGCGTAGTTTGCGACGGGTTCGCCTGTTCCAAGTCGTTGTTTCTCCATTTTGGATCCTTGAGTGAAATACCCAGCCTTCTCATTACCAAGGACAGCAACTGTCATTTTCCAATGTCTTGCTCAGCCTTTGATAATGTGCGGAGTATCTCTGCATTGGTAGAACTATTTTTTTTTTTGTTTTTCTGTCATCTTATCTTTTGCAGTTTGCTTTGCCTTCCGGGTGTTACTGCTGCCGTAGCGACAGCATTCTTCGCCTCACTCCTGACCACACTCGAAGCAAGGTGCGTGAGCCTCTTCAGACTGGAATACCATACTTTTCTGCTGTATTGGAGTAAACTGTCTGATCCGATAAACACTGTCCACCAACCAAGATCTATTTAGAGACTAGTGATCTACCCAGGAAGATGAACTATATTGAAAGAACATTACCTGGGCACTCAACATAAGTGGAGGACATAAAATGAAGATAATGCTATTCTAAACCTCCCTGCCTTAATATTAAGGTATCAGGTCCAGCTTCCTTGCCGCTTTCTTTACCGCTTTACCGTCTTCTAGATTATTTCCTCTCAATATTTTCAACTTACAAACTTCAAATCGTCACAATTTTCAAGTTCTCGTTTAACTGACATTTTTACACCTTAAAAACTACACCTTTTCAGTATCGATTGTTATCCTGAATTTATCCCTGAAACTCAGCTGTTTCCGGATTCCCCGACCGAGCCAATTCCCCTTGCTTTATTCGTGTTAAAATAAACATGTAATCATATACCGTAAAATATATCCTTAAGTATGCAAACCAGAATATAAAACAAACTGAATACAGGAATAAATACAGATGAAGTTGGAGTTGTGATGTGGTCTAAAAGTCTGGATTAATGGTTATTCCATAATTCTGGCAGAATATCTGGCACAATAAAATGATGCCTTGAAGTCCTTAATATTAAGGCAGGGGAATTTGAGAACAAAGTAGGGGTTTGAATATTTAAATAGCATTAACCTAAAATGATATCTAGCTTCGATGATATTCTGCCACCCTTGACCGCCTAAATTGAAGAATCATTCCATTGCCCAATAAGCCTAATCCAATCCTCTTGCATTTAGTTCCAAGGTTTATCAGACCCCGCCTTCATCTTGAACTCAAAGCTAATCAAGCATGAGATATGCAGCGAATGGACAAGGATAACTCTCAGTTTGCTTTGCACAATGTACCTGAGGTCACAAACGAACCCACCAAAATTATAAAGAAGGCCCACCGCACCACTCTTTCGTTTCAAGAAACTCCATTCCATGAACACCTTCATATGATCAAACTAAAAGCTATCAATCTCTGGGGTGAGAAAGACACAGAAAATCTTTTCCACTATGTCCACAGTCGGCGCATGCTCCTCTCAGTCAAGAAATTTATCCATAAAAGTGTCACATTTCCTCAACTCCAACTCGCAGTTAATCATGCTATCCTATTCCGAGTTCTCAACGGCCCTAAAGCTTGGGTAGGGAAAGGCATCACGACCGTCGACCTTAATCGCGCCTTTAACATGCCAAATACTTCTCCTCTCCCATACCAGGATGTTCGTCGACATAACCTTATAATGAACAATGATGGATTCCTTGGCGGGATTGAATCTGGGCCTCACACCGACAAAAGTGTCAATTCAAGTCTTATTCGTGATTTGATTGATGATGGTAACGAAGGTGTTCAAGAATGTGCTCCTTCATTTTTATCTACCGCCCAACAAGGAAGCTCAGGGGTACTGGCTGGTATCGAAAAAGAGAACCTACAAAACAATACATCTGGCTCGACTATATCACAGATTGAATCATTCACGATAGAGCATCCGCCGAATCCCTCAAGACCGCAAGAGCCTGCTTGTGATCCTCCAATTACCCAAGCCGCCATAAAAGCCCTTGATGCTAAATCTAATGTTATCTGGGTTCCCTCCCCTCAGTTGAGTTCGAGTGCAGACCCAGACACAGACTCAGACTCGGATGCTCCGCTCAAGACAAAGAGGAAACGTTGTTCCTGTAGGATACCAACAAGCTTAGCTCAACGGATCCAGAGGAAAGATATTCAAAGCCCTAAGCAGGAAGCGGCCGAAATCGTGCATCTCATAAGGAGGGAACAGCAAATTACTCAGAAAACGATCTGCAAGAGCCACGCAAAAAGACTCTGTGGGCTGTTCGGATGTCATGTTCGAGCCATCAATCATCAAGACCTGATTCAGAGGTTGGTGTTTTTATATAGCTATCGTGGACACATCGATCAAGTCTATGAAAAGAGGCCTCACTGGTGGCCACCAACAACGAAGAACAAACTGGCCCGTTGAAGCCTGCGCGTTTGATACCACATGACATCTGGTCCAACCTGTGGACTGAGGTGAGGTCCAACGCGCATATATAAGTAGCTCCCTTATACAGATAGACTTTGAGTTTCGCTTTAGGTGCACCTGTACCCAGCCCTTGAGAGCTCTTTCTTTTCCTCCGAACCCTCTTCATGCTGCCCTTAAAGAAAACCAGGCTCATCAATCATGGTCCTTGCGCGAGACTGACTTGCAAGACCTGATTCTAATTACTGTGGTCTAGAATTGATGGAAAGCGTGTGATCGTTCCACGGTCATTCTGAGGTTTATTGGTACCTTGTTGAATTAGAGAGGGGAACCCAAGGTGTGAGTCGAGGCTGGGCATATGCTAAAGTAATCCTTTGTCGGCTTGTCTTTGTCAACAGGGAAATTCATTACGGTAGATATATGCCATCACCCATCGTCTGCATATGTATGATGCTTCTGATAACGAAGTTCTAATGAAGTAGAATGGGCCTCAGGACTAACCACATTCTTGATTACCACGTGTTTCTGACGATTCTGGAATGTAATGATTCAAGATAGAATGTGAATGTTCCCCGAAACTACTCGATATTATCAAGAATAACACTTGTACAACTTTTATAATAGGCTGACCCAAGTATCAAATTCAATAATCACTTTAAGGAACATATATCCGATTGCGGTGTAGCCTGCATTTCCCCTGAATTTATTGCGCTAATTTAAATTGTGGAACGTAAGGCCGATAAGAAGGCGGGTAATGAAGCACGCTTACCACCCTGCCCTAAGAATAGCTGGGAAGAAGCGTACACATTAAAAGAGAAGAAGCAGAAAAGGGAAATTGAAAATATGATTAAAGATGGACTTCAGGAACCAGAATCAGCCCATCAATAGGACTGATAGAATTCCAAATAGCTGACATGAGAACGGACTGACCAAGATTACTGAGTGCAGCCCGAAGGTGAAACGCCATGAAAAAGAAAAGAAAAGGTATTATGAGGGTCGTTTGTCGTCAGGTCTAGCACATCTCGCAGCACTCGACGCAGTCAACGCATGTTTCACATCCCTCTTCGCAGACGAAGCAGCAGCACAAAGTTGCCATGCTATAGGATAAATTAGTATCAAAATAGAGAGGGAAAAAAAGAGGAGATGGATAACTCACCAAGCGCCGAGACATCCCTGGCCACCACCACCACCACTGCTGCGCTGCGGCTGTTGCTCAACGTAGACGGGTTGCTGTTGCTGAATGGGTCATGGGTGATTAGTTCAGGTTCCAGAGCTCTGTACATCGGTTCGAACATACAGGAGGATAGCCCTGGGGAGGATATCCTTGAGGAGGATAACCCTGCTGGGGAGGGTAGCCTTGAGGGGGGTAACCCTGAGGAGGATAGCCCTGCTGAGGGTAACTGTACACAATGCGATCGGGTCAGCACAGAGCACGAAGCCAATAGAGCCTCTCATGAGAATCACATATTGGCGAACAACAGCTCCCCTTCGCATGGCCCATTCAAGCGTTTTATATTCAGCTTGGGGAATTTGCGATGGAGGGGTTGAGCGAGATGCGACAATCAAGCTAGGCGTTTCGAGTAAACTTACGCCTGTGGGGGATGTTGAGGCTGATAGTATTGTTGGCTAGACATAACGGCGAACGGGACTGAGGGCGAAGAAAGAGAAAAATTAGCGTTGCGGTCACTACCGAAGCGAAGTGATAATAAGTGAAGATGCGATTCTAGGCAGAAAGTCCAGCTGAAAAGTGGGGGAGAACTGAGGGAGCACGGGATTAATAGAAAAGGGCGTATCCTACCGGTATTGGATGAAACGAGCGGAACGAGCAATTGAGGTTGAAAGATGGAGAAAGGAGAAAAAGGTTAAAGAGTCGGAGAGATGTTGAGAACCAAAGGGGAAAATAGGAAGGGAAAAAGGATGACATCCGGGGCTTGGCAAGCTTAGCATATTCAGCTCGGTTTTAATTTCTTATTTTTATCTCCACTCAATGTACACTTGTATCTCTTAGATATCTTTACCTTCGCTAATTTCTATGTGATATTTATGGGTTTTGAGCAGGACTCACTTTCTTCCACTTTCCACCTTTCTTCCACCTTTCTTCCAATCTTGTTATTTTAATTCTTCATTAGTCATTTGATTCACTACCAAGTTGAATGAAAATGAGCCCACCCTACTCAATCCAATCAGGCTCTGTAATAAATTATAGTGTGGGCTCGATCGGCATCTTCACCGCCTGGATTCATGGAAGCCTGTCGTGAACCTTGGAAATGATCAGGTACAAGATACGGTACTTTATTACTTGAAAATCATTGCTTATCATTTAGTCGTCACTCGTGTCAGTAATAATGGGTGCTGTTACCCCCTCGACCTCTTCACCACCTATGTCATCCTAAAATCCCCTATATACGGAGTATAGCGGTAGGCCTATACCATAATTACACTCAATAACCCTGCAAATTGGATGACGAGAAAAAAAAAAAGGAAAAGAGGAAAGAATAAAACTCCACTACGATCGCTCACATGACATATGATTCTTGTTCTGGCGGTATTGAGTGCGGATCCGAGTAGAAGGGCGAATCCAGCGCTCCATCTAGCGGATCTGGGAGATCAATGGAATCGATGGGTTCCAGATCAAATGTTGTTTCGGGGTACGGGTCAAACCCATGCATCAATGTCGACTCCATGTCGAATGGTACGTCCAAGTTCACCGGCATAGCTAGCATTTGCGTCGGAATAGCCTGAGCATGGGCCTGAGGCTGGACCTGGATCTGAGGCTGAGGTTGAGGCTGAGCTCGGAATTGGACTTGCATTGGAGGAGCTTGAGACTTAAACTCTGTCTCCAGCTCCTCATTGAGCTGGTTATCATCTTCGAGATCGAAGTTATCTTCAAGACTACCATCCACATGGTCTTCGGCCAACTCCACTGTCTGCCTCATCCAGTGCTTCAACACATCCATCGGCGGATGATTTCCACCCCCCTTGCCACCACGCTTCTCGCTATCCTTACCACGCCCACCGCGACCACGCTGGCATGGGTTGAAGTGCGTACGCCGCAGATGTGCAGCAGCATTGTAGTTGGCGCCGTACTTCTTGCCATTACGGCAGGCTTTGCAATTTGCTAGGAAGCTCTTGTCCGGGGAGATGTCTACACATACCCACACCCTGCGTACTGCGGCATGGACTCGTTCAATGTGGCGGCGGAGCTCATGCTCTCCATGGAAGCCATCAGGCTGATCCTTGCACAGATGACAGTGGGTTTTTGGTCGTGCAGGTCGCTGAATTGAAGCCTTGGGAATTGCGGCCACCTGCTTGGCCGTGCCGTCAGACGAAGAGATGCGGACCATCTTTTGTGGATTTGATGCATCAGGCACAATGACATTTTCATGTGATTCCCGCTTTGGAGCGATAGGACGCGCGGCCAGGGCATTTTGCTCGTGGGTACGCCGAGCAGCACGAGAAGATGGAACGACCGGGATCTGGCCATCGGTTGAATCGAATGGCTTCAGGTCGACTGCCTGCATATACGGAAAGATAGATGGTATGGGTGGACGGAAAGATGTAGAAGATGGGGCAGAAGTGGAGATTGAGACTGGGTAAGGGAAGGGGAATGATAGGGAATCTAGGTCAGGGCACATGGAAGGATATTGATTATGGTATGAGATGGCTGAGGTGGATGTTGGCACCCACTCTGGGGAGATACAGTATTCCTGATCCAGATCCGGGCTCCGTCCGATCGAGTCGAAGCGAAAGTCGTTGAAGTTGCCAATGATACTGTCAGTGGTCCCACTGCGGCTCATTTCTGGCGCCACTGGTGGTGACATATCGGCCGGAGTTAATGTTCCAGATTGTTGATACGAGGGTCCGGTCGATCCATATTCCGCAAGACCCATCGATAGGGCGGAGGAGCCATATGACGAAGATTGATCGGGGTTCTCCAACCTCTTTGCAAAATCACATGGCGAGTATTCGTCAACATGATCTAGGTGTGGTTGCTGCGGCTGCTTCCGAATCGGTCCAGAGGCTTGTCGCCTTCGCATGACAGTATCGGTGGGAAGATGCCAATGCGAAAATGGGATCTGTTGACTTTGGGAGCGGGCCATGACGGTATGTTGATATGAGCTCGACAATGGTACACTCTTTCGGGGCCTATCTGGAGCTGCTTGCGAGAGGGTGCGCCGAAGTTGAGCGGTCACTGGAAGATCCGGGGTCTACAAATTTTCAATGGTCAATGGTTCGTGTTCAAGGAAAAAGGGATCCAGGTCGGACATACGGTTGCTCGCCGTTTCGCCTGCGGTAGACCAGAGCCAGAACCAGAGCCAGAGCCAGAACCAGAACCAGAACCAGAGGGAGAGGGGAGTGTCCGCGGAATCGCATCCTGTCGTGATCGTTTCGCCGATTTGCCGGCCAAGCCCTGATCGATGGTCGGAATGAATTCACTAATGCGATGTCTCCAGAGTTGATTCCGCTCTAATTCCGGGAGGTGGGAATGTCGAGCCCAAAAAGCATTACGATAACTGGAAATGGCCACAGTAAACTGTGCTTCATCGTCGACCTGATTGAGAGCCATGATGGGAGGAAGATGGGACTATCTATCAGTATTCAAAACGGGGAGATTTGAGAGATTAAGATCTATGAAGTGTCAATTCGTGAAGAGAAATGCGCCCCCAGAGAGCAGAGAGCAGTTGAGCAGCATACGTACTTGATTAATAGAAGAAAAGGAAAAAAGATCTTATCACGGCGATCTCGACCAGATCGATAAAAGTGGAGGAAGTGAAGTGGGGATAGCAGTAATTAAAGGTCGATCAAGATCCCAGAAAATGGTGAAAATGATGGAAATGGTGAAAATGGCGAAAATGATGAAATGGTGAAAATAGTATACTTGAATGTAGTCAAATATCGGGCAGCATCAGTGACGGAATGGAAAGAGCAATAACAAAAGTCCAGAAGAGAAGAAGAAAAAAGAAGACAAAAAGGGTCTGGACCTTGAATCCAACATTGATAAGAGGGCAGGTAATTGCTGACTGATGGATTGTAGGTGTTGGTTGGATCGAAAAAATACGAAACGACGATAATTCAGTGAAATCCATAGAAGAAAGTGAGGCAGCGAACCGGATCAATTCAATACTTGATCCGACGCACGTTCTCTTGTATTTCTCTCTTTTTTTTCTGTTTTATTTTCTCGTTTTCTAGCTTCTTTTTATTTGTTCTGGATTTGCGCCTACAGCGGGTGCCCGAAAGAAACTTACTTACCTAAAACACAGCCCCCTCCCTTTTCCTCTTTTCGCTCCATAAGTCCGTGGCTTGATTGGATCAGAGATCTATCGGGTATACAATATTGAGCTGCCACGTCGTGCAGAATGATGTACGAACTCGCCTGCCAGACCCTTTATGTTCCTAAATAGAAACTAACTTCCAAGGTTGCGGCCACGCGGGAGTGTTCCATGGTTTTGGTTAATCTTTATACCCGATCACCTTAAGACTACCTTTCACACACTACTACTAGTTGACTGGTCGATTACTACATATTAATTGAACCGACCTTTCCCTTTTCTACTTGGCTCCATCACCGAAACGCGGTTGCCGCTGTTTCATTTCAAGATCGGGTGAAGGACCTTTCATCTACATTCTGCCCAATCACGTCAAAGACTAATGCTGTTAGTTATCTGTCATTGGAATGTGTCATTCAAACCTTGCTTTTAGGGTTTCGGGCGAATAACCACAGCATGATGAGGAGATTCTCATTGCCCACTCATTGAACGGAGCTCCGAACCTATCCTGCCCAAGAACCAGTTCTTTGGAAATCTTACGCCCGGCTCATTCTCTCCCAAGTTTTTCAGTTGTTTCTCTCGGACCCCAATGTCTTAGGCTTAAGTAGACTGGTCTGGTCTCTACCGAGGAATATCCCATCTCATGTGATTAGGCTGTCGCAGCCTAAGGCTGAAATCATATCGTTATCTTTTTGTATCATATTGTTATCGTTCTTTGACCAGAGCTCTATCGTCGGAGATTCAAAACTTGGCAATAGTAAGTGACGGAAAGTATCAAGGTATACATCCCGCGTGATATACTGGACCGGTTTAAAAGACGATGACAGGTGTGTTCATGGACATGGATATACATGGCCGCGTGGCCTTGCAGATTCTCTGCCTGCGGCTCAACCTACACCGCCTTTTCAGTTATCGAAAGAGTCAAATACGCCATCTGCTATTTTTGGAGGAGTATACTTCGATCACTATACTTCGAATACTCTAACACCTCTCACCTTAGCAGTTCAATCATTTATTCAACTCAGATTCAATTCTGCCATTTTAACACCTTAACTCGTGAAAGTTCGAAATTCGTCGATCTCATGTTCCACATCGCCACGGCGATGTCATAACAACGGTCTCAAGAGTTTCGGTTAGCCAAACCAACCAACCAGAGTCAATATGGAGATGGCATCTAATCACAAATTCACAATTCATCTTCGTGGATACACTCTATTTTAATGATTAAGAGCCCATGGGTAGAAATTGAACCCCCTTGAACTATGATCTTTAGGGATCTATACGTGGGATCCATGCCTAATAGGCCCAGACTGACGTCAGGTTGCCACTCTATGGTTGGTAGTGATAACAGAGAATCATAGCTGAAAGAGAGAAAAAGAGAAAAAGTATAGAAGAGAACGATCAAGCCAGACAAGATAAAGAAAATCACTTGAGACTGTGGCTAAAACACCCCACGTGATGTCATTGTGTTTAATTGTTCTCCGCCTTGATGAAGTGAACCTCCTTTTGACTTCCCCTATTCCAACTGGACTGTGGAGCTCTAAAGTCCCTTAAATGCTTTTTTAGTTGCCTTCTCTATTTTACTCTTTCTCCTTCTTTTCCTTACTCTATACACCATGTCTGATCCAACTCTCTATCTATACACCTCCCTTACCGCAGGGTCGTCTCATATCATCACTGCTACATCTCGTGTGGAGACTATCCTCAAGGCCAACAAACTCCCTTTTCGCGCCATTGATCTCGCCACAGATGATGCTGCCCGCAAGCTATGGGGTCGACGGTCCAAGGGCAAGAAGCTGCCCGGTCTAGTGAAATATGGCAACATTGTTGGCGTATGTCGTTTTACCCCTCACAGTTCGATACAATTACCCTGACCCCCACTTCGTGCAGGACTTGGAAGAGATCGAAGAATGGAACGAATTTGGCGAACTCCGCATGGTCATTAACAGCGCCCCGGATGTGGATGGCATGCCTGCTACAAGTTATCCCGCCCCGATCGACGCGACGCCTAAACAACAACCGAAATCGAAACCGAAGCCCTCCACTGAGACCCAAAGCCTACCGGCCAAGACTGAGGACACGACCGAGGATAAGGATGCCACAGCTGTATTAGCTCTTCGTGCTGCGAGCGCCGAGGCCGCATCGAAAGCAAAGAGCAAGTCAGAAGAAAAGAAGGAAAACCCCAAGGCTGTGAGCGACAAATCTGAACCCGAGCCCGAGCCCAAACCCGAAGCCAGGAAACACCGTGGCTCAGTTGCCGCCGAGTTGCCCGACACAGAGCCTGATTCCCCCAAAGGCTTAAAACGTCCAGCACTTGTCCCCGAATTCGCCGCCGTGTCATCTGCCAACTTCCGTGCTGACAATGCAGAGGCTTTAGGTCTCATCCAGCATCACCACTCATCCATCATCTCGATCTCAGATAAGGAAGAGAATGATAAGGTGGTTCATGATATCCGCGCATCAATCTCGGAAGATCCTGCGGCCTCGGTGGCTGTGGAGGCTATCCGGAAGGAAGCTGCAGAGAAGGGTCATATAGATACTGTTGAGGAAGTTTCTTTTGATGAAGCTAAAGCCGAGAAGGAGACATCTGAGGTCAAGTCTGTTGACGAGATTAAACCCGTGGTTGAAGAGGCTGCAGTTTCTGAAGAGACCACGGCTGAACCTAAACCTGTCACTGAAGAAAATACAAATGAAATCAACCATTTGGCTGAAGAGACAGCAGAGGCTAGGCCCGTTATTGAGGAGACTGCAGCAGATGCCAAGCCTATTGAAGAGACGAATGAAGCTAAGCCTGTGGCCAAAGAGACAGTCGAGCCGAAGCCCGTGGTCGAAGATACTACAACTAGCTCTAAAACTGCGGCTGAGGAACCCACCGCTGAAATCAAATCGGCTGTGGCAGCAACTCCAGAAGAAATCACTGTGAAATAACTGCCTGGAAGTACTCAAGCTGCAGGTTTATGATCATGATGAATTTGGTATTTGCGGACTGATTGCTTGATTACTCCCATTCTTTTCTCCTTTTTGTTGTATTGTTATTTAGATACCAGTGAGCTAAACTAGTAGATATCCTTAGCGAATATCATTCTAGTCTCATCAATTCAGACAATTAATCCGAAGCCGCATGCACAGCATGGACCTTGTAGTGAAATTTAGACGTCTAATTGTGGAAACTAGCTAGACCTTGGATCGGCGACTCTCGACAGCCTGGCGCAATTTGGCGATAACTTCGGCCGGATCTTCTGCGCCGAAGACGGCAGAGCCTGCCACGATCACATTAGCTCCGGCGTCTGCGGCCTGGTCGATTGTGCCTACGCCAAGTCCTCCGTCAACCTCGATGTTCAGGTCAGGGTACTTGGCGCGCAGAGCTGCCACTTTGGGAAGCTCCGAGGCCATGAACTTCTGTCCGCCAAAACCGGGGTGCACAGTCATGACGAGAACCATCTAGAATATTAGTTAGTGCATATTTCACATAAACAAGGGACGGTGGTAGGTTGGTATGGTAGGTGGTAGATGCAATACGGTCGTCACTCACGTCCGGGCGCTCAGCCAGATCTGGGCTCTCGAGAATATCCCACAAAACATCAACAGAAGTATCCGGCTTAATGGCGATACCAGCCTGCATGCCTTGCTCGTGGATATACTTGATCAATTGGCGGGGGCTTGTAGGTGCAGTGGTAGTCTTATCGGCGGGTTCGGTCGCAGCGACAGAAGAGACGGCAGCTTCATAGTGGAAGCAATACAGATCGCAACCGGCGTCCTTGAATTCCTTAACCCATTTATGGGGCTATCGTGCGATCAGCGATGTGAAGATAGAGGGGTTGCGACGAAAGTCTATACCTCCATGATCATCATGTGACAGTCGAAGGTACCGCGAGCACCGGGCTCGAGTGGGCGATCGACGCAGCCGCGGATATGAGAAACGACGGGACATCCGATTGTCATGTTGGGGACGAAATGGCCGTCCATGATATCGATGTGGAGCCAGTCAGCACCCTGCTCGATCTTCTTCGAGCAATCATGGCCGAGGTTGGCGAAGTTCGCGCTGAGAATGGAAGGGGCGATGATGGCGGCAGGGGCCATCGTGGAGGATTCGCAATTATGAGGGAAGGGAGGTGGAGAGGAGAAGGTGAATTAAGCTGAAGCTATGGCATGGGACCTTAGAACCAGGGTGGATATCTCGGTTCACCGTCGTCCGCACTCTCCGCCTTGAGCTTCCTCTTATCCTTATTCTTCATTGACAGAAATCTCATCAAACCATGATTTTCTGAGGCATTGCAAGGATCAAGCCCATTTATGATTCAGTAATGAATGAATGATGATTACCTCTATCGCCGGAAGTGCAGAATACTCATTTCGAAATTCTCTAGAGCTTGTATCGAGGTCATTGAGCGCCTCGGCCAATCACTCTTCTGGCTTCCCACTTCATATAGGAAATTTCTATATATCCCCATGCAGGCAATATCAAATACTTCAAAGTGGGGCCTATGATTTCGGTGCGCTGTGACCCGAGTCTAGCTTAATCACATAACGCGTTCTACTAGTTTAGTGAACGCTATCCAGTTCAAGGAAAGGATATCACAGCTAAGATGATCTCCAATGACGTTTGCGGTATTCGGGCTGCTCTGGAGGCTCAAAATATAATCTTGTTTTGCTCTCAGAACCAACTAAAACTGCCTTTCAAAGTCTGGACTTTGCGATATCTATTCCACGACCTACCTGCCTTTTATCAGCCTCAAAGAACTGTGCATACCATTTGCTAGATGGTCTAGACTTCTCATGAGAAGGAAGTCCCTCCCAGTTCTCTTCAATGCGTCGCTCGTCCTGCTTCCATCCTTCCAACTCGGTCAAGATCCAGGGAGCAAGCACCGCTGCAGTATCTGCAACCTTCTTCAGCACTACGGTGTGAAACACCTTGGGAATGAGGACATTTTTGACCCTCCCAGCTTCCATACCACCACTTCCCCCAGTACCTGTTCCTGTGAACTTAGCAGCTTGTTCCAAGATTCCCCAGCATGTGAGCTCAGCCTTCTCACCCCCGACATACAGAACCGATGGACGGAGGGTTGGAAGAGATCGCCACATCATTATGCGCTCCGGGTGATAAAACCTCTGACCTGGATATAGATCATTGGTTATCTCTGGCACGAATAGCGGGTCGTGTGTAGGTCTTGAAAGGTTTGACTGTACTTTCCACAGAGTCAGGCACACCCTGTTCTCGATGCTGCTGGAAGTTTCCACGAATATATGACAACAGCTCCTGATGTTTCGTGGTGGCCAAAGTTACTGAGGAGCTTCCATTATCGAATCGAGGGGAATATAAGTTGTGGAATACATATACAATCCCTCGGTCGATTACTTGAGGATCCCATATCCGAAACATGAGCCTGCACATTTCTGCGTCGATCGCACGACTGGGCCAGGTATCCTTTTTCTTAGCTATGCGAACCATCATAAGATTTGTTTCCGAATCCCTTTCCCGTGGCCAAATGAATGATTCAATGAGCACCAGGGAGCAGATGAGACGGGGATGAAGGTTTGCAAGTTCCATTCTGACACGTTTTAGTTCAATTTCTTGACCGAAGTATATCACTTTGGACATTCAGTTGCACAGCACCCATACTATGTCCAATACCAATGATAGGCTGGGGCATATCAAGTCGAAAGTGATTGATCATATGAAGCAGATCTCGACTACGGTCAAACTGTGAAGCTAATTAATGTATCAGAAGCCAAACTTTCCAAGTTTTTAGATCTTTGAACTCACAATCATTCTCAGTATACCGCACATTCAATGCACTGCTAGCGCCGTGATTGGTCATATCTGCCATCCAAATGCCTCCAATTCGAAATCCATTCTTTCGACTACAAGCAAGAAGCTCTTCCCAGAGTGGCTCATAAAGCTCCTATCGGGCTCAAGTTCAGCATCGATTCTGATCATGATATGGCAAGTTACTCGAAGCCTACGTTTGGAAAGCTGCAGCCATGAGGAGCGACGGCAGTTATAGCCCCAACTTGCGCGTTCCCATTACCGACATGCGTGTACTATTTAATTGCAAGTTTGAGCGACGCATCTTGAGGTGATATTCCCCTTGGGTACTCGCGCATATACTGGGCGTCAATGACATGTTCCCTGATAATAAACAGCGAGGTCATGGTGAAAACCGAATACTTATTCAAGTACCTTCAGGGCCATTTTACTGAAGGATACAAGCGGAGGGACTTGGTGTTTTGAACACCATTGAGCAAGGGCATCAATTCCGCTCTCAATCGTACTTTTTGATTCATACTTATAAACCCCACTGTTGACCCCGGGAACTCTTATCGTTGATCTACAAGTATCGATTCGTCACATATGTCGGTAGCCGCCGGGGATTTATATCCTATTGGCGTCTCGCCATTACTTTATCAGATCAATCACAACCTGTAAAAAACTGAGTGTTCTCTAGCAGGTGGGTCGCTTTTAAATTTGAAGAAGTTGAGATATTTGTGTCCCATTTAGATCTCAATAACTGATGCCTAACTGCGTCGCAAAATTAGAAATGAACTTGCCAATTACTAGTGTAGAACTAGTGACTACTGTAATTCCTTTACATAACAATATATTGTTGCCAACAGGTTTGTATTATTGTACCGAGGCATCTTTAAAGTCAGGAATTTATAATTTACTACCTAAACTCCCCCCATGCTGATGTAACTTGTACCTGCTATTCAATAATCTGTCCAATATCCTCCTCTTCTAAATCATTATCATGGCTTACGCCTTGGACTTGCGAAAAAATGTAATAACTTCCTTTTCCTAAATCGCCTTGGCAAGAACAAGAGTGATCAGAGTGTAAAAAAGTAGTATGGAATGAATAATATGATGTTCGTTGTGGTAATCAAATTGATTGCTGACCTTCGAAATAAGTCGTACTCCGATCGTTTATAATACCCTCGCCTCAGAGTCTCTCAAGATCCCTTCGAATTCTTTAGAATTCCAGCCCGAGGTACCTCCAGATATACTGCTCCTTTTACTAGGTAAACCCTAATAGACTCTTGGGAGAAATCGCACCTTTAACTAGCCACTGAAGGCAAAAGCTAACATGAGGAACGTTCTTCCAAGGTCTGCATTTACTATACATCCCTGCCTAGCACAGAAAGAAGTCGTACTTCGACTTGGGCTTCACCCACAACTCATCCTTCCTCGAAGAAGGCCTTATTGTTAGAAGAAAGCATTCACTTTCAAAGCTGCTGCCATCCCGCCCAGTTATCCTAATTCACCTCTTCTTACTGACGTATACCGTAGTTCATCATATGTGATTGTGTACTTGTTACAGTAGATCGATTTGAGCCGATCTTGACAAAAAAAAGATTCGCGAAGAGGAATGTAATTACAGGAAAACAGTATTTGGTCAGCATCATTGGAAGAAAAAAAACACTCCCTCAATAGAGATTCTCGAGTCGCTCTTGCTGTGATGGATTCTAGTCTAGAGACTGAATCACTAGCCAGTCTATCCATTCCAAGATCGATCGCGAGATGTTCGAAAAGTTCAAATCATGAGTCACGGGTCTGAAAAGCTTCGAACATATTCTTCTAAGCAAAACCAGTATAATGCGAAAATTTAAAATATGAAAATCCCAGAGGATTTGATTAAAAAAACAAGGATAATGAATGATATGAGGAGGTTTTGTGGTTAGAATAAAGGATAGATGATGGAGGATGGAGCATTTGCCTCCAGGATTTGGATGTTGCCAATTATTTATCAGCGTGAGACCAGACATTGACCCATGACCAGACGGTGAAATGAAAGTGAAATTAAAATCAAGAGTGGAAATGAGAGCCCTGCAGTGGAATTGGAAGTAAGAGCGAAGTTACTATAGCAATGGCTGGATCAGCAAAATAATATTTGAAGTCAAAAATATCAAAATTCGACGGAAACCCATAACAGGTCTAAGAAGAGCGAGCTATCTCAAGGACAGCTAGGAATATTAATAAAGAATGCTATATCTTCAATTCTGTGTCTTCATTCAGTGAGCAGTGAGGGTTGTAAAGATCGTCGTATCCTATAGTTGAGGCTCGAGGTAATAGTCTTCGCAATATTATGCTGAGGTGAGGACAAACCTCTATTTGACACGTATTGTCGTATATCTCAGTTCTTTAGCTTCTATGTTAACTTGCTAGTGCAAAAATATACAACAGCACTGACCATAAACTAAGCCCCCGTGGTGAATGTTGTTGATTTAAATTCCACATATGGTCGAAACTAGCCGTTTGACCAAGCCAGATGTGACTAGCGTAAGCGAGAGTCTCTTACTGATTGGTGGATGGAATAAGGCCTGAAACTCCACATTTTAGAATGATCGTCATTTCAAGGCTTGGAAGCTTATACTGCTGTGGATACCTTCTTAATTAAGGGACTTTATCCCGAGGTGACCAGTGAAAATGTTCGTTGATCTTGGGGGCTGAAGAATCATTGTATCATGAAGATCATGGTTACCTAGGGTTGAGCTCTGGAAGTAGTATAAGAAAGAAAGATTTTCCTCCCCAAGTAATCATCGGTCCACAGATTTCAAGTTTCAGTTTTTGTTCTCTTTTCTCTTATTCAAAATGTTGTCGACATCAATACTTATTACGATTGGCCTAATCCCCTTGTGTTCGGCAATTCCCCACTATGTCCATTCCCGCATTGATTTGGAACATCTTCCTGGATCAGTAAAACCAAGATATGGTGTTGAGACAATCACTGAGTCGAATGTGAGGAAGGCTCAAATTCTATGCTGATCTCCCATACTGACGACACACTAGTACTTCTGGTTTGGCAGCTTCAACGTTGGAAACTCGAGAAATCTCACACTGTTGATCGATACTGGCTCATCAGATGTGATTATCAATCCTGGTTATTATAGGCGAGGCTCGGCCTCAGTTAATATCCACAAGAATTTCACGAACACATATGGCTCAACGGAAAGCGACGGTTCGGGAACAGGAACGGTACATCATATTATTCCTAATGCAAGTTGATAGAGAGCTAACGACTTTTGTAGGTCACCGGTTCTCTGTACAATGACACTGTCAGCTTTGGTTCATTCCATGCGCATCAAACGGTTGGATCGGCCAGTGCTGGCGCCAGTGGGGATGCCTTAATTCCTGCCGATGGTATTGTGGGGTTTGCTGGTCTTGAAGAATCGGCATTCGGTGGTGCATCCCCGTTCTTCCACTCACTTTGTGATCAGGGCTTAGTCTCTGCCTGTCGGTTTGGTGTTATTCTGTGGGATGATGGGAAGGGAACTCAGGTTCTCGGGGCATTGGACAAGTCTTTGTTTAAGGGAGAGCTCACCACAACGTCTATTATTCAAGAGTGGGTTATGTGGGCTGATATCGCTCTCAATGGCAGGATCATCGAGAGGAATGCAATTGTGGAATTAGATACTGGCACAGCTACGATTATTGGGTAAGTGAAAGAAGATTTAACCGGTCGCATTTATTCTAACGTCGCTTTAGGCCCCTGGATGTGGTCATCGGTATCTTTAATTCGTCCTCTATTCCGTACATCGTTTCGACTTCAAGCGCGGGTACGACCGTTAGCGGATACTTCCCATGCGACCAGCCACCAACCCTAGGACTCGTCATCCCGTCCAGGCAAAATTCCACCGATGCCAGAAGGGACAATTCAAATTCAGTCAGCCACAATAGCAATCTATTTAATATCGCTCCGGATCAGTGGGCTGCTACCAATAACGGAAACAACAATTGTACTGCTGTTCTTTCGGGCACTGATGCCCTCCCATACAGCAATTTATGGGTTGTTGGTCAACGTGAGCTTACTTGAATAACCCTAAATTTGGATCTCTTTACTGACTTTCAGTAGCATTTTTCCATGGAACTTACATCGACCATTATCTTGGAGAACGTACACTTGGTTTCGCTCCTTCCAAGTGCTAAATTGTAACACTACTTACTACAGCCAACCATGGCTGCACTCACTTCCTTAAAACCACTAGGAAGGCGATATATTTAGAAATCAAAAAGATTGGAATTTCAAAGTTACCGCTAATCCCACTTTAACTTCGGAAGTAGTTGTAATCCAATACGGATGGAGGACCGTAAACAAGAGAAGAACTGCTGTTGAGGTGGGCTACAGCAAGAAGGGTAAGGTATGGTCCAAGATAGGTCCAATATATTCTAAGAATAACTTTCGGAATCCCCTCAGGGTGCTTCAGACTGGGTCGCGATCACCGACTCGCTTAGTTTCCAACCGCTAGTTTGCCTTCGGCAAAGACCAATGGTTCTCTAACAATCAAGAGTTGACTCTTCATCAACAAACTTGGTATTCAGCCACCACTAGTACTAAGTCTAGCACTGTGTCTCTTCCGATACCACAGATGTAGGATAAACTTTCTACAGAATTGATGACAAGAAGTGTGGATGATCTCAATCACCTATTCTGCAAAGTACTAAGGATGAATACCTCGATGCCGATCTTTATCTTGACCTTCTTCCAAACTATTTCATCGATAAAAAGATAGATGCAATATTACTATTATTACATGACCTTAGAAAACTAGCACTCGTGGTCGACGTAGAAATCTGGGGATGTACTAGGTCCTATAGATATTAAAGTGCACTTTCACGCCGCAAAAACAGTTAGGCAGTATCGGTATTCAATCAGGAAGTCATAAGACCGAGTATTAGTAAAAAAATACCCTAGAGACTATTTTATTAAAGTAACGAGGGCAACAGATTTAACGAACATAAGCAAATATTTCACTGTTACCTAGTATAGTATACTTGTTGCGACAGCCGAGAAACAAGGCCATCAACAGACGGAAAGTATTTCGGCCGAAAAAGCTTCTGCCGAGACAGCGACTCCGGAACTGGATTAGTATATCACGGCATCCTTGAACAATATGCATTCATCGCAAACGACACCCTTAAGCAATGCGCATTCGCGACAGTAATGTCCCGTCTTCACCGTCTCTTCTGTCTCGGACGAATGTTGACATTCGTCCAGGGCAGAGGGGCACCCATATACTATAAGTAGCTAGTTCTTTCATCAATGAAAAAGCAGACTTCACAACAACTGCAATATTCAACTAGTAGGAATCCACTACCAGATCGGTGGATTGTCTACGGTGTTGAGTAGTGGTTCGTTAGAGCTCACTGTTCTCAGTAACGAGCGACAGTGATCCTAATAGATATGCATAGTATTACTACGGAAAGCGTCGCAGATGTCTTCATAAAGCATATTTATATACATCATGGTTTACTAATAGCGATCACCAGTAACCACGGCCTATAGTTTATAAGGGGGTTCTAGCGAATCGTGTGCGAAAAGCTAAAGATTCGACGCCGATTATCTACCATATTCGACCCCTAAACTAACGGAGCTATGGAACGCGTAAATCAAGAAGTTGAACGAATTCTACACGCCTTTACTATATACGCACAGGACGACTAGGCAAGTTTACTACCTATCGTAGCTATGGCGATCAATAACCGAGACGCAACCTCTACTAGACTATCTCTATTCTTCTTCACACACAGATACCATATCGATCTAGTCAAAGTGATAGAAGTCCAAGCAGAGAGAGGACCAGAGATCGCAAGGGAAACGTTCACGAACCGACTACGAGACGCCACCAATTAGGCAAATACAGCGATGGCTATCGCCCAGGAACGCTAACAGGAATAAGCGAATCGTTCAAGACGAGCTGCTCCAGTCTATAATATCAACGATAAAGTATGGCTAAACCTACAGAATGTACGCACGATACGGCCTTCAAAGAAACTAGACTGGCTTCACGCCAAATACACAGTTCTAGAAGTGCCATCCTCTCATACAGTAAAGCTGGATATGCCAAGCGGCATACATCCTATCTTCCATGTTGATTTAATAAGACCCGCAGCAACAGACCCGTTACTATCATAAATCGTGGACGATTCGCAACCGCCTCCACTGTTAGTCGAAGGAGATCTGGAATACGAAATTGAAGAGATCCTACGAGCAAGGACACGAAAAATTGGACGTGGGTCGCGGAGGGAAGCATTAGTGAAATGGCGAGGATACGCAGAACTGACATGGGAACCTATCGACGCAGTGGAAAACTGCACAGCTTTCGACACCTTTGAACTACGATACGGACCAATTACGACTTCGAATGGACCCCGGAAAACAAGAGAATAGGAGGGGGGTATTATAACAGGTTGAATCCTGGTGAACTATCACGTGTGTCAAAGGGCCGATATTAAGGGGTGTGCTGCGTATGTCAGCAGGACCCATAATGTGTGTATTTAAGCGGGTTTCATCCCTAGATAGACAATCCAGTTTCGTCAACCATTTCTGGTTGGACGGTCAATTTCTCATTTGACAACGTGGTTGTACCACGTGACCCACCAACCGCATACCTCACGATTCCACCCCGAATTGTTTACGTTCTTCAAGGATTTTGTAAACAGCATGTGCCTAGCTAGTTCTGAATTCAAGATTAGCTTTAGACCTTCACATTTACTGTGGCAGTAAACACCCCTCCTCCGTTACCCCTGAATCGACTGAATCGACTGAAAACCAAGAGATCTGGGATCTCAACTCCGTTATGAGTGACGATATACTCAAGGAAGCCAGCTAATAGCCGGCATGGATCATGAAGTGTTTACTCGCTGGAAGTCAGTTTGCCCTCCTAAGAAGGACAAGGATTCCGTCCTTAAGTGGCTTGAGGACCGGGAAAACCTTCATCAGGAAGCAGAAGCGGCAGGAATTGACTCTGCAAAGAGTGTTAAGGAGTCAACATGGGACTTCTTATGATTAATTAGGGATATCCTGCCTGTTTGATGGCAGGATCAACACCGACGTGTCGTGGTCGAAGGAGAGAGAGTAGGCGTCACTACCCTCTTAGATAGCTTCAGGACCACATTTGAAGCTTAAAGAGACCAGTTAGAGGAGGATTTGCCACCTCTCAAGGGGGCATTTAGTATGTTCTAGGGCTATCAGGAAGCCGGAACACCCTTTAAGTTGAAGGGGTGCCCTTGTGGAAGGCCGTCTCTGTTGAGAAATGTTTTACTCTAAATCCAGAGTTGAGACCAGAGGGATGGAGCAACTGGAAGGAGTCGGAAGCAAAGGTTCAGGCTGTGTTTGAAGCAGAACCAGAGTGGAGGAAATGGGTTGAAGAGAAGATTAAGGGTAAGCCTGGGGCTTCACCTGAGGTAGAGGCTAAGCCTGAGCCTAAGGAATCTAAAGCTCAAGCCTATTCAGTGGCCTATGTTTTAGGTGATGGTGTGTTAAGTGGTAGTGGTTTATGTCCAGCTCATACTGTCATACAGTATAAGCTGAAGGGGTGTGTCAAAGGAAGTGATTTGGGACCCACTTTTCGGTGTATATTTAAGCCAGATTACACTCTAGTTAGAAAATTCAGTTTCATTCATTTGTGGCATTTGAATGATTGGCCAGTCTGAACCAGTCGACTTGACACGATATTATAATCACATGATATCGTATGATAATTGGCAGATGCAGATGGCGGAGATGACTAATATCTGCCATTTTATCTGCTATACCAAAAAGGGGTGGCAGAGTTGGCAGATGGCAGATACTATCTGCCATCTGCCTAACATCCCTATCTACTTTGATCCCGATAGTTACCTAATAGATATTGGAAAGCTGATTGATACTGTTGGACTAAGTGAATATGTCGCTCGCTTGGCGATATTCGAATATCTCAACTGAGAACGGTGAGCTCCAACGAACCACTACTCAACACCGTAGACAAACCACCAAGTGTAGTGGTCTCTACAGTACTGAATATTGTGGTTGTTGTGAAGTCTGCTTTTTCATTGATGAAAGAACTAGCTACTTATAGTATATGGGCGCCCCTCTGCTCTGGACGAATGTCAACATTCGTCCGAGACGGAAGAGACGGTGAAGACGGGACATTACTGTCGCGAATGCACATCGCTCAAGGGTGTCGTTTGCGATGAATGCATATTGTTCAAGGATGCCGTGATATACTAATCCAGTTCCGGAGTCGCTGTCTCGGCAGAAGCTTTTTCGGCCGAAATACTTTCCGTCTGTTGATAGCCTTGTTTCTCGGCTGTCGCAACAGAATAGTTGGTGTTGAGGATTTACTGCAGTAAACAGGTGATGTCAATGGTTAGAATACCGCCTACCATTTATAGCTTAGCTTACTGCATACTGCCCATTTATTACTGCCGGATTGATGCCTGACGCACTTTCCAACTAACAACAATACTCTCGTCTTTACCATTCCAGACCGCTTTTGTCGCTCGCTTGGCGATATTCGAATATCTTAACTGAGAATAGTAGACGTTGTGAGCTCCAACAAACCGCTACTCAGCACCGTAGAAAATCCACCGGGTGTAGTGGATGCTACGATACTGAATATTGCGATTGTTGTGAAGTCTGCTTTCTCATTGATGAAAGAACTAGCTACTTATAGTATATGGGTGCCCCTCTGCCCTGGACGAATGTCAACATTCGTCCGAGACAGAAGAGACGGTGAAGACGGGACATTACTGTCGCGGATGCACATTGCTCAAGGGTGTCGTTTGCGATGAATGCATATTGTTCAAGGATGCCGTGATATACTAATCTAGTTCCAGAGTCACTGTCTCGGCAGAAGCTTTTTCGGCCGAAATACTTTCCGTCTGTTGATGGCCTTGTTTCTCGGCTGTCGCAACAGCTTTCCATATTCAATTGACAGGTGAATGGACCCACGTGGTATGACGTAACTAGGGAATCGGGCTTGATAGGAAACTGGCTACGGACAAAAAACTAATTCTTCAAGAAATAAAAGCCAGTCTCGGTAAATCTTCGGGTTTTCGACAAGTTCCATGTAAAAAGTGTGGATTAATTATTTAGAGCTTAGCGCAGATAAGGTAAGAATTGGCACTGCATTAAAGCCGAAGAGCAGCCGGGCCCCAACTTTGATAAGCCTCTTAGCCAATCGCTATCACTCTTTGACCAACTGTCTTGACCGACTCACTTGGGACATTTTTTGCGGGTTTCCTGACTCACTTCACAAGATGCGAAAGTTCCTTCGACTCCCCTCAAAGATGTGACGTCTAGTTAGTTTGGAAGAAATAAATGAAGCTTGACCAGAGCCTGATTAAAGCCTAGCTGCATTAAGCAGACTAAGAAAAACGAAATGTGTTGTAGGCGCTGCCTAAATCGGAATTTGATGTTGTGGCCTTCACAAGATCTTGGATATACAAAGTAGTTGGGTTCAGCCTAGAGCTGTATCTCGTCTTCCGATACCGATACCAGAAACGTTTAGTTCAGAGAGGAATGACCGCGGCCTTCAGACCCGTCTTGACTGTTGCCTGTAGTCTGGTTTTTGACACATATAACTGTGTCACGGTATTAAGCGATTGTTGATCGCCTCGTTTATCGGAAATGTGGGGTGCATTGCGATGCTCAGATAACAACAATTCAGAGATAAAAATTCAAGATAGCTTTATCCTAATAATAATGTCTGTTGGGACTGGCATTATCTACCTTCCAAGGTCCGGTGTTTGCTGTGGAGTGAAGCCATGGATCGCGATCATACCAAGGCGCGATAACGTATAAGAATAACGTATAAGATGATTTTTGAAGGGATACCCGCCACGATAAGATAGATAGTATGATGCGATGCTTCTAAGAGACTTGATATAAAGTGTATGAACGATCTCTCATAATAAAACCGAATTATTCTACAAAGCCTCTGATCGAACGATACACATATAATCACAAAATGCGCCTGAGCCTGCTTTCGATATTTCTCAGCACTGCCATCGGCAGTGCTGTTCCACGAAATGCAGGAACATCTGGTTTGACGGACTTTAGCAATCTGACTGTCGCTATTGTTCGGGCCCCCCATCTAATTGGCCACTGCCTTTGATGAATAAGAATTGGACAGACGTGGAATTTGACCTCGATGGATCGGTCTCAAAGGCCGTCCAGCTTGTTCACCAGGCTGCTGAGAACGGGGCAAATCTTGTTGTTTTCCCGGAATTGTGGTTCCCGGGGTAAGTAAAATCTGGGTCAAGTTTCTCTATCCACCCAATTTGAAATCCCGAAATATTTCGTACTAATTTTTGAGCTTCACTAGCTACCCAAAAGGCATGGCCGATAAAGCTTCAATCGCAGCACACGCTGAAAGCTACGTCAATAACTCATTGGTCATCGGTAGTCCACAATGGAAGGCTCTTATAGATGTCGCTAAAGAAAGAAAGGTTTACCTTGTTCCCGCTTTTTCTCATCGCGCCAACGGCACCATTTATATGGCTCAAGCGCTTATCTCGCCTGATGGTGAAGTCCTTCATCTTCGTCACAAGCTCCGACCTTCTGGTGGCGAGCGCGAGATCTGGTCCGATGGCGAACTTGAAGGCTTGAAAGTAATTGCGACTCCATACGGACGCTGGGGGTTACTGGAATGCTGGGAGCATTTCCATCCAGCGATGACATTCAACATGCAATCTCAGATAGAGACTTTGCATATCGCATCGTGGCCTTGTAAGTTTTTCTAGCATCTCGAAGCTTACTCGACTATGTTTGGCTAATATACTATCCAGACATGCCGGATGAAAAGGATGGAAGTGCTGCATACTGGGAATCAGTTGAAGTAAACGAAGCTGCTGCGCGCATGTATGCTGTCAATTCGGGGGCACCTCTTGTCATGGCATCTGTGGGAAACTCCAGATTCCTGAGTAATGAGGGATTGGACCTGAATCTAGTGAAGGCATCTGTGTCATTTGAAGATGTCCCTCTCGTCTATAGCTCCTTTAACACGACCGGACTTGCTAGTACATCTCCGTATGATGCAGATTCTGAACAATCCTGGGGAATTTTGGGTCAAATTCAGGAGGGATTCCCATCATACATTCCGAAAGTCGTGGGAGATTTTGTGGTCCGGGTTTACAATCCAATTGCGAGTCTCCTTGAGGCCGCCAACTGAAAATGTAATTATCACAAATAGGGACTATTTCGATAACCCTACCCAGTGTGGACTTTATTTCATAGAAAAAAAAGACTATTTGAACGCTATCAAGCTCAAAGTTTGCCTTGATCTGTAATTGTTAAAGTAAATCACATACGACCCGTGATTACATACGACCCGTGAATTTCATTTTTTTAACGCGTCATTTACGTATCTTACTTTTTCAACCACCCACCATGCCACCTAAGAATGCTCAAATAGCTCAGAAACGGGTTGAATAGGAGGGTAGGATCTTATTAGCTATTAAAGCTATAAATAATGGCGAAATTACCAATACAACCCAAGCTGCATCTTCCTTTAATGTACCCCGCTCAACCCTCCACGATCGCCTATCTGGTGTTAAATATCGCGTCGAGAAGCGCGCAAATGGCCATAAATTGACTGAATCTGAAGAGAAAACTCTTCTCAAATGGATTTTCTCTTTATATGACCGTGGATCTGCCCCTAGACCTCATTATGTCGCTCAAATCGCCAATATTCTACTCGCCGACCGTGGAATCGACCCACCTCTTATAATCGGACGAAATTGGGTTTCAAACTTCATCAAGCGTACACCTGAAATCGAAACTCGCTATTCAAAACGTTACAATTTTGAGCGCGCAAAACAAGAAGACCCTAAGATTATTCGCGATTGGTTTATTTTAGTTGAAAAGACTATTCGCGATAATGGGATTCATGAAGACGACATTTACAACTTTGATGAAACTGGTTTCGCGATGGGACAAACCGCTACTGCCAAAATCGTTACTAGAGCTAGCTATTATGGCCGACGAGAGAAGATACAGCCCGGGAATCGCGAATGGGTTACGGCTATTGAATGTCTAAATTCAACTGGCTGGGCGCCTCCACTATGTATCATATTCAAGGGCAAAAACATGATGCAACGGTGGTTTCACGATGTCGATTACCACCTGATACGCGCTTTGAAGTAAGCCCTAATGGCTGGACATCAGACCAAATAGGCCTTCGTTGGCTACAAAAGCTATTCATCCCCTCTACCATAACACGTACGAAGGGGCGATATAGGCTATTGATTCTAGATGGCCATGGTAGCCACCTTACGCCTGATTTTGACCAGGCATGCCAACAGAACAACATTATACCAATATTTATGCCGCCGCATTCATCCCATCTTTTACAGCCTCTCGATGTAGGCTGTTTCGCCATTTTAAAGAGATCATATGGCCGGCTAGTTAGCTCTCAAATGGAGCTAGGATTCAACTCTATCGATAAGAGTAGACATGTGCATGGGTTGGGTATGGGTCAAAATTCATACCCATACCCAACCCATCAGGGGTAAGGTAAACCCATACCCATACCCAACCCAACCCACGTGGGTATGGGTTGGGTATGGGTCCCATATGGGTATTTTTGATGCCTTAATGCCTGATTTTCGCCTCAACCTAAACTAAATTAGGGTAATTAGTGCCTTAGTGCCTAACTTTTGCCTCAATCTAGTACTAACTAGGTGACAAATATCACGTGAAATAAAAGTCTTGGCAAAAAGATGGGTTTATGGGCTGGGTGTGGGTTTTACTTCAAACCCATACCCAACCCATATGGGTTTTGGGTAAAATTTCTGACCCATACCCAGCCCATTGTGGGTTGGGTTGGGTTGGGTATGGGTTTACCCAACCCAATGAACATGTCTAGGCGGGATGAGCGATTAGAACTTAAACCAGAGTTCAAACGCAGTGGTAAAGAGCCTACTCCACTACCAGATTATGAAAGCGATACCTCTTCAGCATCAGATAGTGAGGAAGAAATAGAGGAGGATGAGGAAGAGGAGGAGGATATTCAAGCTCAATTAATAGCTTGGCGCCAATTCCAATTTGATACTATATCAATGGTTGATGATCAAGGAGAAAGGTTTGCAAAGAAGTGGCTTCAGTATATCAAAGGCCAAAGGGCTCAAACCCAGAAGCTGATTAATGAAGCTAAAACTATTCGGAGCATGCGGACGATGCCCAAAACTTGGCGGAAGCACGATCATCCACTAGGGGTTTATTTACAGTAGTTAGAATCGGACTTGGAAGAATTGAACTTGATTTGAATTAGTAATGCTATTGAGATTAGTAAGGCTTGGCAAATATCACGTGTGCGACAGTTTTTCGGCTGCCCATTACGCACACTTTTGAAAGTGCTTCTCCGTATGGTTTGATATGGAAGGCGAAAGCGGTCGCTACTGTAACAAGGTAAAATAACATATTCAATTGCATTGATAAGAGCCCTTTTAAGCAAATACTTCAAAAAACGCATGAAAACCAATATCACTCGATTCTTCTTCTCCGAATCCGCTCGCTTTGACGGCTTGGCCACGCACGTTTAGTTGAGTGGTTAGCTACGACTGGAGTGGTAGTTGGAGTAGTTGTAGCTGGAGCAGTTGTAGCTGGAGCAGTCGTAAAAAGGTCAAGGGTTGAAGATGTAGATGATGGTGATGGTGGGTGGTGGTGGTAATGTTAGTATCCCAGTTCTACCATCATACCATTGTATATCCTCATCTTCATCTGGTAGAGTAGTCATAGAGTCATTCTGGTCTATGACTGAGAATGATTGTAGAGTTGATGGAGGCTCAATTGATTGAGATTCAATCCTATTCCGACGATCAATAATAACATGCAGCTCATACTGCTTCTTTTTATTGAGCGTAAGCTTTTTGTAAAGGTCTGAAAGTAGCTCACAGGTGAGGCCAAGAGGAGGTCCTGGTGAGAGATAACTATTAGGTTTTCTCCCAGCAAGATTCACACTGCTTGTAATTTTGAATTGATCTGTATAATGTCGTTCAAGACCAGCCATTCGTATGTAAGGGTTAGAGTCCAATCCGGTTGGGCTACCGTAAACAAGAGAAGAATGATCATGAGAAGGCTACCAGGGGCAGGTGTATGAGTGGTATCCCATAGGGCTCAATTCCACTAAGGTAATTTGGGAACAAGGACAACTCTTGAAGTCCTTCAAGAGTCCAAAGACCTCAGAGAATTAAATACATCAGGAAGTGGCAAATCTCTAACTAGCTTATCTGGTGAACCCCTGCTTCCCTGACCGCTGGTTCAGCCAGCTTGTGTAGAGAGTCCATTGCCTTTCTCAGCCTTCTTGCAACCCACGCCGTTACACTGGCATGCTGCTGAGATATTACAAAACAAGCTTATAAAGGAACGTCCGGAATTACACTGGAAATAACACCCCGGTCTGTACTCGAAGAGAGTGTACCAGAAAGAAAGATTGAGAAATTGACAAAGCGGCTCAATATATGGATCCCTCACATACGCAGGCCTTGATCTCCTCTCAAATGCCCGAAACAAGGTAGATCTTCAGTCATTACATCATAAATGGCGGTCAGCAAATCACTGTATATGTAGGATAAGGTCTTTTTGGGTGTAGGTAAGGGGGAAGATGGTTTTATTTTACTGTACCCTCCTGCTCGAGAAGCTGTTGTTAAGACACAGGACGATATATAAGAGCTTTAGAGGCACTTGCTGGTAGCGATAGATAGATAGATAACTTTAGACTCGGTCGCCCTAACATAATCGTGAAAATATAGTTGATTTTCAAATTTGATTAACAGCCATATTGAATACAAGTGTCGGGACGATGGAGGTCGCCTGACACAACATCCCTGACCTATCTAGCTTTCAGGTAGGAGGTTATGAGACGTATCCAAGTCGTGAAGTCATCGCTTCTCGTCTGGGAATAAGTAAGGCTATATACAGTACGAACTCCAGGTTCATTGGAAATCAACTTGATGCTTTATATAGACGCCACGGGAATTATTTTCGATCGTGCGGTTTTGTTCCTGATCTGTACCACACTCATATCACAACAGTATTGACTTGTCCGTTTCTAGTCCCATCTATGCTGAAGACATACGTAATGATGTGATACGGTGAGAGACGGTTGCTTCCAAAATTACCGACCAGTTTCCCACCTGTATCGCCCCGCAGGAATTTTCGACCTATTCGATATTCGTGAACTCCTGCGGTCATAGATTTCGACACAGCCAACGTCAAATTTTTTTTCGCTCACCGCTATTTCTCCCAGCCGATCTTTCGTCACGATTGAGGTCTCAATGAGGAGAACTCTCCCCGATATGTCATCAAATATAGGATGGATAGATGGAGGGATGGATGATCTCTTTTACCACGCTCCACTGCTGAAGTTATACGTAGGATACAATAAATTAAATGCGTAATTATATGTCTATTTGATCGATGGAGATTGCTTTAAACTTCCTGAGCGGTGAAATTTGAGCCTCATCTAGTACCTTAAGGTATGTCGTGGCCTCTTTGTCATTGGTGATGTTAGGCTTCCTTTATAAAGCGGCTGGAACATACTTATGAACGAGATAGACAACTAAGTAACTGTCCGTCTTTAGCTGTATTTATGCTAGGTACCCTAAGAACGCTTGTAATACTAAGCTTTAAAAACTAGATAACGCCTCTGTCGTATATGCGAGTTTGCCGCGGGTTTGATTATCCCAGCGTTTTCTTGCCTTGTTCTCGAGCTAGAATAGTGGCGGTCGATATTGAAAACGAGATGAAGGTCTTTCATACGTTGGTTGTGAACTATCGGTGCGGGAATGATAGCCGTTGTTGGTTGCAGAGGGTGGGAAGAGGATGTTGCGATTCCGGGTCGAGTGTATATATACTTTATCTCACAGAACGAGATTTGGAGATTGAAAATTTTTATATTGATTCCACTGTTGATAAGAGGTTCATCCCCAGCTGCCTTATGCAAATTCTAGCTGTCCCTTGGGAGGCTGTATGAGCTGGAAAAGGCTCAATGGAGAATTAACGTTGTTTTTTTTAAAATCTATTTACGCTAAGCAGGTTCTGAAAGTTAGAAATAATCTAGATGGCTACCTTGCATCTATGTAGGGGGTAGTATCGGCAGCTGCAAGTAAGGATCCTATCGCTGGACACACCGAAGTAACGTAAACTGACAACTCTTGCCGCAATTTCCCTTTAAATTTACATAACCCAGAAGCAGCATTCTATTTTTGTTAACAAATTTTCACATTGGAATTGCCAAAATCGTATATACATAACGAGAATAGGGAAACACCAAATATGGCCATATTAACCAACACACATGGTCATTTGTGTAAAGACGGCGATACTCATAGTCATGCTGTTCGGCCTATTGCCATCATTGGTATGGGAATGCGACTTCCTGGAAATGTTAGGACTGGTGACGAATTTTGGGACCTTTTAATCAGCCAAAGGGACTGCTCATCCGAAGTTCCTAAGAGCCGATACAACGTTGATGCCTTTTATCATCATGAAAAACTACAATCAGTGAAGACCCGGCGCGGGTATTTTCTTGACGATGATTATCTAGAAAAAGCAGATCAGTCTTTCTTTGAACCGATACCAGGATTGAACGTCGCCGACCTCGACCCACAGCAGATGTCGCTAATGGAAGTTGTCTGGGAATGTATGGAGAATGCTGGACAGACAGGCTGGCGCGGGAAGAAGATTGGGTGCTACGTGGGAGTATTTGGTGAGGACTGGCACGAACAGACGGCCAAAGAGTCACAGGCAATACCTCGCGTCCATGCATTCGCAAACGGAGCTTTTGCATTGTCGAATCGAGTTTCTTTTGAGTTTGATTTGAAAGGTCCCAGGTATGTTTTGTGCCTATGTTTGCTGGATATTGTAGCTAAAAGTCTAGTGCGACAATTCACACAGCTTGTTCGTCATCTTTGACGGCATTGCATGAAGCTTGCGAATCGCTTTACAGTGGCAGCTGTTCATCAGCAATTGTGGCCGGTACCAACATGTTGTTGAACCCTTCTATGACCATCAACATGTCGGAAAATGGTGTGTTATCCCCAGATGGCCGCTGCAAAGTCTTTGATGCCAGTGCAGATGGCTATGCCCGCGGAGAGGCGGTGAACGCCATTCTCATTAAGCCTCTGGATCAGGCAATCGTGGATGGGGATAAAGTGCGTGCCATCATTCGATCCACTTCGGCCAATTATGATGGGAAAACAGCCAAAATATTCGCACCAGATATAGAGAGCCAGGAGCGACTAATCAGAGCGGCTTACATGAGAGCAAACATCGATGATATATCTCAAACAGCTTTCGTGGAATGTCATGGGACGGGCACCAAAGTTGGGGATATGGTCGAAGCAACAGCCATTGCCCAAGTATTTGGAGGAAAGGGTGTGCTGATTGGATCTGTAAGAGCAATTCTCCATGATAAATGCAGACTATGCGGACTATACCTAGGTACGGTACCAATTTCTCACCTTATTAGGTTAAATCAAACATTGGGCACGGTGAGGGTGCATCTGGATTAAGCAGCGTTATCAAGGCGGTTCTATCGCTGGAACATCATGTCATCCCTCCAAACATGCATTTCTCGCACCCCAATCCAAAAAGTGAGACCGTGAAGCCTTTCCACCATTTCATGACCTGACAATCGCTTTTCAAGTTCCATTTCAAGCAGGCAACCTTCAGGTTCCTGTTCAACCCACACCGTGGCCTTCAGATCGAATGGCCCGGGTGAGCGTGAATTGTTTTGGTATTGGAGGGAGCAATGCCCACGTGAGTAATATGGAAGATCAAATGTGATATCAATTAACATACTATAATAGGTTATCTTGGATTCTGCATCCGCCGCCAATTTAATGCCCCGAAAAGAGATTGAGCGAGCAATAGATGCCTATATTGTCGCTGTGTCAGCCCAAAGCCAAGAAGCGCTTGGAACTCGACTCATTGACATTCAAAGGTACTTGCAAGAGAGACCTCAGGCTATTGAGGACATCGCATATACTCTAGGGGCTCACCGAGACCATTTATCTCATCGGGGATATCTAATATCTGACAGCGCAGGCAGCGTGACCAGTTTCAAGTCTAATGTTTCAGTAGTCCACACAGAGCCAAGTCTGGTATACACATTTACTGGCCAGGGAGCTCATTGGGATGGTATGGGGAAAGACCTGTTCAACTGCTTCGAAACATTTCGCCGTGATATTTATGTCATGGACCAGGCTTTACAAGGACTTGAATTGCGTCCCACATGGAAAATTGAAGGTGGCTCAAAAATTTGAACCCTGGTGAGCTGTTTCATGTACTAACACTCGTCCAGTCGAAATTCAAAAGTCGGAAATCTCAAACTCTATTGATCCAACGGAGTACTCCCAAACCATGTGTGCGGCTATCCAAATTGCTCTCGTAAATCTATTCTCCAGCTGGGGCATTCGACCATCTGCCGTTGTTGGGTATTCCAGCGGGGAAGTTATTGCCGCCTATGCCGCAAATGCCATTTCAATGCGTACAGCCATCATAGTTGCATATTATCGAGGGCGTTGTCTCAAACACGTCTCGCGAAACGGAGCAATGGCTATGGTTAGCCTCGGGAAAGAAGAAATTGCTTATTTCCTAACAGATGGGGTATTTATCGCCTGTGTGAACAGCCCCAACAGTGTCAATATATCAGGAGAGAAACCGAAGGTGATGGCTGTCTGTAGCAATATCGTCAAGGAGAAGCCAGAAACAATCATTCGACACCTGCCATTGAATATTGCCTATCATTCACGTGAGTTTTCATTGCAATTTACGTTGATCAAACTGATAATTATGGGAAACAGCCCACATGCAAAAGGCTGCTTCGGCTTTTGAGACAAACTCTGCATCATATTTGGTATCACGGGTTGATCAGCCTCATCCAATGCTTCCCCTTTACTCGACTGTCACAGGGACGAAGCAGTCGGATGCCAACGCTCTTGATGCCAGTTACTGGCGAGAAAGTCTTGTGTCTCCAGTCCTTTTTTCTTCCGCTGTTCGGAACCTACTAAAGGAAGGGAACGGCTACAGTACAATAGTCTTCATGGAAATAGGATGTCATCCAACGCTGTCTGGTTTTTTACGCCAAATTCAATCGGTTCAGGCACTCGAAAATCCTTATGTCCCCACTCTCCGAAAAAACAGCGATCAAGTTGGCTGTATATTCAAGGCTGTTGGCGAGTTGTTCTCTCATGGATGTTCAATCAACTTTTCTACCATTCATTCAGGGGAAATTGTCACCAGCCTCCCAAATTACCCATGGGATAGAAAGAAGTTTATATGGCAAGAGAGCCGTCTAAGCCGCAATTGGAGATTTCGAAAGCATCATCATCATGAACTTCTGGGATCGCGCATGCTGGAAGCAACAGATATTGAGCCATCATGGAGAAATATCATGGGTCTATCTACCGTTCCATGGATCAAAGATCATCGAGTGTTGGGCGAAGTTGTGTTTCCATGTGCTGGCTATGTTGCGATGATCAACGAAGCGATACGTCAACAAAACAACACGCAACATTGCACAATTCGTAATCTTCACATCAAAATTCCGCTCATCTTGCCTGAATCTGGCCTCAGTGTGGAGATAATCACCACCATGCGACAGATGCGAATCAATGATCGACTTGATTCGAATTGGTACGAGTTCACTATATCATCTTATGATGGAATTGACTGGACGAAGCACACCGTGGGTCAGGTTTTAGCTGGCATAGAAGATTCAAACATGAGCGCCGCTGTTCCGCAAGAATTTCCGAGATCAGTTTCTTCGCCGTTTTGGTATGATCAACTATCGAAGTTGGGCCTTCAATATGGTTCATCATTCCAAGGTCTGCAGGACATAACCGCAGACCCTGTCAGCCACACGGCAAGCGCGAGGATATCTGGAAGGTTCGAGGGATCTGAGCACAATAATAGCCTGCATCCGACTGCGATAGACCACTGTTTGCAGCTTTTTAGTGTTGCAGCCTGCAGAGGAAGAGCAATTCATCTTAGGGATCTACTCGTCCCCGTTTTCATCGATGAAGTTTATCTGAAAGAGACTCGGGATATGTTGAAGGCTGAAGTCACAGCATCGCGTTTGTCTGGGATTCAAGGTCAGGGAAACGTCACACTAATGTCCGATGACCATTTGGTGCTCTTCATGAAAGGAGTAAGGCTAGCCCGAATGCCTCAAAGCAATAAGACAGAGGCCACAGGTGTACCTCTTTTGTCCCACTGTGAATGGCTACCGGCTCTTGATTTTCTTCCTAGTCATCTTCAACTCCCTGAAACAAACATAAACAAAAATACTGCTGAGTTGATTGCCAGATTTAGCAGGTTTCTCATGATTCAGTTACATCAAAATGTCTGCAGAGCAAATGTCGGATCGCAAAGCCCAAGGTTCAAAGTATGCCCAGAGGCCTCAATCAATCAATCAAAGAATCAGGCTAGCTTGCTCGCTCCAAACGCACAGGATCCTGCTTATGATAGCAATAGTCCTCGAGGTGAATGGCTTTCATTGGAGCAACAGCTTAAGGCTGCAAATCTCGATTTTATCTCCCAGCTCTATCAACAAGCACTGGCAGAAAGTCCATCGACACCAGAGGACGAAAGAAATCCATCTTATATGAGGAAACTTGACCCTTATCAAAAACTTCAGGACTGGATTTTGTCTACTTATGATCTTTCTGAATGGTTTTCCCTTCTACGTCACTCCAATCCTAGACTTAGTATCCTTGAAATAGGGGCAGGTAAGGGATTCTTCAGTTCCAACATTCTTCAGCATTTGACCTGTGATGGAATTACTCTTTGCTCGCATTATATGGCCACAGACACACTGCATGTGGAAGACGCTCTAAAAGAACGCCTTAAAGATTATGAAAATGTCGAATTCAAGACTCTCGATCTTAATCATGACCTTTTTGCACAAGGGTTTGATCACAGTCGTTATGATCTCGTCATTGTATCAAAGGTCTGTCAAGCTTTCATATAATAATACAGACAATTTCCATTGACAGTAGCTCAGATTGAATCTCGTACTGCAAGTCTAGGGAATGCTTTGAGGGCAGTTAGGAAGCTTCTTGCTCCCGGAGGGCGACTCTTACTTCATGAAGTGGGCGCAGGTAAGGCTTGCTTTGCTTTACATAAACCCTAACACAGCTAATCCCGCTTAAAAAGCTCTTTCAGCGGTTAATTACCTACTGGTGAATACTTAGCTTTGGACTCAACAATGACCTTTTACTGACCACCCCCAAGGATGCCTCCCACACTGGGCAATTTGAAGAGTCTGTGCCTGACCTTGATAGCAAGCCTATGCCCAGCAATTTTTGGAATAGTGAGCTTCTACAAGCAGGCTTTCTTGGGGTTGAGGCAGACACCTATAACGGTGAGATGTCAAACTACCTTTCTCGAACACTGATCTCTAGTATACCTCTTCAAGGTTGTCTGCACGACAGCACGGTCTATCTACTATGTCATGACATAATGAGCAGCCATATTTGGATCAAGCAAGTTGAAGACCACTTTTTACAGAATGGCCTCACAACTCAGCGTCTCTTGACGAGCGATAAAATACAGCCCAAGCAACACATCATCTCACTGCTTGATCTCGATAGCCCATTCTTCTCACATATCAGTGAGAAGAACTGGAAGGCACTGCAGTATCTCATTGAAAATTTCCATCAGATTATCTGGGTGACTAAACTAGTTGAATTTGATTGCGAAAACCCAGACTTTTCCCTCGTGATGGGAGTTTCTCGGACAGCACGACAAGAGCAAGAAGTTGCATTTGGAACTTTCCAAGTCGACAACTTTGACTCTATGGCAGCAGAGGCTTTACTAAAAATTTCTAGGAAGTTTTTCAAGTCGACAGATCAAAGTGGGTTGGTCGACATGGACTACGAATTTGCACTTCATCATAATTTCATCTATATTCCACGCATGCAGTGGAGCTCTTTTGCAGACAGACTTTTACAGGAGGCGGACATTACATCTCCAATCAAACTTCAGATAGCGTCTTACGGAACATTAGCCTCGATACACTGGGAAGAACACATCTCAAATCAGCTGCCATCTGAAAATGAGATTGAGGTTGATGTGAAATTCGTGGGGCTCAACTTCAGAGTGGGTTCTACGGCCGAATCACCCAACTTGAAGCAAATGCTAACTTATTAAGGATGTGATGATAGCACTAGGTGTTATTGCCAACAAGGATGAGCTTGGGATCGAAGCCAGTGGGATTGTACAGCGATGTGGACCTGGGGTGTCACAGTTCAAGCCAGGCGACCGGGTTATGATCATGAAAACAGGACTATTTCGCACAATTACAGTGCTACATACAAGTCAATGTGTTGCTATACCTTCAGGACTTTCTTTGGAAGATGCTGCTTCAATGCCCACGGTTTATGCGACCGTGGTTTATTGTCTCTTGGATGTTGGGAGATTGGACGCGGGACAGGTACGCAATTTGTAACCAATCTTGTTCATTTATCTAACAACTTCAGTCTGTTTTGATTCATGCAGCTTGTGGAGGAGTAGGTCTTGCTGCAATACAGGTTTGTCGGATGATGGGAGCGAAGGTAAAAAAACTCGGTACCTTGGAGGGAAGACACTACTAACATCCTCTTCTGGCTAGATTTATGTCACAGTGGGAAGTTCTGAGAAGGCGGAATATCTTATTAAAAGCCATGGTATTTCATCTGATTGCATATTCAGCTCTCGAAACACTTCCTTCTTTCCCGCGCTCATGGCCAAAACGAAGGGACAAGGTGTTGACATTGTACTAAACTCGCTTGCTGGAGAACTTCTTCACGCATCCTGGAAATGTGTTGCTGAGTTTGGTAAGATGATTGAAATTGGGAAGCGAGATTTCCTAGAGCACGGCACTCTGAGTTTGGAGGAATTTGGTGGAAACCGAGCTTTCTTTGGGGTTGATCTCATTCGACTTGCACAAAGGCCAGGCCTGCTTAAGAAGTAAGCACTGGATATCTGGGCCTCTTTCCTAAACCTATCATAACTCCTGGGGCTAATTTTTGTATTAGGCTTGTTCATAAGGTTATAAAATATTACGAACAAGGGAAGATTTCCCCAGTTCGCCCACTCAACGTGGTTGAGGGGGTTCATATACACAAAGCATTTCGTTCTCTCCAGCAGGGCTTGCATATTGGGAAGATTGTCGTGAAGATGCCAGGTACTTCCCAGCGATCTTTGATTGCGAAGTCTCGTCGTCGTGCACAATTCTCGCCAAAGCTTTCATATATCCTAGTGGGTGGCTTAGGGGGAGTTGGGCGAGCCATCGCAACCTGGATGATAGAGCAAGGTGCCCAAAATTTGACCTTCTTATCACGTTCGGCAGGCTCAACAATTCAAGATCAGTCATTCCGTCATGAGTTAGAGACACTGGGTGGTCAAATTGTCATGGCAAAGGGCAGCGTGACGAACGTAAATGATGTTCGAGACGCTATAAAAGCTTCTCCGTGCCGTATTGGAGGAGTGCTTCAGCTATCCATGGCTCTCAGAGTAGGACTTCTGGACAAAATCTATCTATAGAATGGATATACTAACCGACGAAGGACCAATTCATTCCAGACATGAGCCACAAACATTGGGAAGATGGGATCAATGCTAAAGTGGACGGAACTTGGAATCTTCATCATGCCTTGGATGGTCAACATGATTCTGTCCAATTTTTTGTTCTCTGCGGCTCAATTACAGGCGTAATGGGAAATTCTGGCCAAGCCAACTACTCCGCAGCAAATACGTTTGTCTCTTCATTTGCACAGTATCGGTTGCAAAACGGACTTCCCGCATCTGTGGTGAATCTAGGAGCAGTCGATGATGTTGGCTTTTTGGCCACTCAAGATCTTAAACTCCGAGAACGAATGCGATCAGCGTCGGTAAGACTGCTCAGTGAGGAAGAAGTTCTAGATGCATTCGAGCTTGCCATTCTATGCGGAGATTCCAAGAAGGCTAAACACACTTGCAACAATCTTCAGATGCCACTTCGTATATCGAACAACTTCATTGTCGGTATGAGCTCTATAAAGCCTCTCACCAACCCCTCTGTACGTTCCTTGTGGGGTCAAGATGCTCGTTTTCGCGCCTACGGAAATCTTGATACCAGACTCGAAACATCTCAAGATTTAAGCAAAGATGGTTTTAGCCTTCACCAGATGATCTCGACCGTGAAAAAAAACCCAGAGGTCCTGAATGATCCATCGGGAGAGAGCGAAGTGATAGTACAAATTGTGAAGAATGTGCAAGTATATTCCAACTTTGCTCCAGGGCTGGACTATGCGCAGGTCGCTGCTATGCAAATTGACTCTCTCATGACTGTTGAGATCAGAAATTGGAGTCGTCGTTATCTGGACCTGGACGTGCCCCTAACGTCAATAGTCAAAGCGGGCACCATTGAAGGATTAGGCAAACTTATCATCAATGTTCTGCGCTCAAAGTATCAGAAGGAGTAAAGAGTTGTGGACAGAGATTACTTTATCTTTTTTTTTTAATTTTCTTTTGTATTCTTGAAAAGCGCCTCACGAATATAATTTCTTTCCGACCCTCGGCCACTTGACTTGAATTGTTTGAATCCATGGACCGATTCCTCGGACTAACTCTACTTTATGATGAGATTACTCAAATAGGGCAGTATGAATAGGTAGCAGACTAAGGCACGTATTGACTCAGAAATTATGGTGAACATTATAAAAATGCAGCCGGAGCCGAGCCATCGGCCGCAGCAGTGTAACACAATTAGGGGGCCCCACGCTATACAAGTTGTTAAGAATGTGTCCATAAAGCACCTCTTGTAAGAATTAACATTATTTAGCTCTTAAATATAAGCGTCGGATTGTAGATAATAATATGTTGGGTATGGGAGTGAGTGGATGGGCGATACACTTGCTTGTGGGTTACGAATTTCCTATAACCGTGTTTTGTACCCCAGCGATGGGTAGGTACCGCTACATGGTGCTAGGAATGGGTTTCCAAGCAGTGATACACCCACTGCCTAAAGAGACCAAAGTTTGCTGGGAGGGAGAAAGAAGCGGTCAGCTGGTAATAAGCAACCATGTTACGCCAGCCATACAATGAGGTATATGAAATGTAGAATATGGAGGAGTTGCTTATGCACCACCAAAGCCACCTGTCGATACATCACATCGCTTACCTGCCTGCATACGCACAAAGGGACCCCTCTAAAAAGGAGGAGCTGGAACCTCTTCCCAGGACCAGCGATTAGTCTGAATATCATCATACCTATATCAGGCACATCTCACATTCCTCACTCGTATCCACACCGTATCAGGACACCCTTAAGATATTGTCCTAACAAACTATGTGGTATCGCTTCAGATTCTTTTAAAACCAAGCTACCATCATGAAACTGTTAGAGAACATCGTGATTGCTTGGAAGGAGCATGCTATTGGAGATGAAAATTGCAAATTTTACGACTATGATTGTATCTGGACAGATATCGATCGTCGAGAATGCCGACGTGAGGTGTCTATGAAAATTCTGGCTCTTGGCATGAGCCGCACCGGAACCGACTGTAAGTATGATGTCCCTTTCGAAAAGATAGAAAGCTGAACGTTGGTATATTGAAAGCCTTGAGACAAGCTTTGAGGATCTTAGGCTATGACGACGTATATCACGGTTATTCTGCATCTTTGGAGAATCCTCGAGATTGCAAAATGTGGCTTTCTGGTTTACGCGCAAAATATGACGGTATTGGGAAGGTGTTTGGGCGGATGGAATTCGACCAGCTTTTAGGACATTGCCAGGTAAACCCGTATGAGCGACTATGACTGGGAATACAGCTAAGAATAGCAGGTTGTGTCGGACTTCCCTGCCGTGTGCTTTTCTGAAGAGCTTATCGAAGCCTATCCTGAATCTAGGGTGATATTAACTATAAGAGATATTGACAAATGGCACGGGTAAGTCTGTGCTGGTATGCCCGCTTTGAACAGGGTTTAACATCAGAAACAGGTCCGTGAATCAATCCATTCAGCCACTGCTGAATAGCGCGTTTCTACGTTTTATCGAATTGGTCGATCGCGCCCTACTCGGAAAAACACGATGGATTGGACGAACTTGGAGAAAGATCTGGAAGAATCTCTTTGACAACAATTTTGAACAAAATGGACGTCGAGTATATTTGGAACACTGTGATTTGATCAAGAATTTGGTTTCAAATGAAAATTTGTTGATCTTCGACGTTCGCAATGGCTGGGAGCCGCTTTGTAAGTTTCTTGGACACCCCGTACCAGCTATTGATTTTCCTAAGGGAAATACTGTCGACATTTTCCACAGACGCTTGGCAAGTGGCACGTTAGCAATGTTCTATCTACACTTATTCCGAATATTGAAAGGATTCCTGTGTCTGAGTTTAATATATTCATTATTCGCGGTTATGCAACCTTAAACGAGATGACAATATTTAGAGGTCGGCACGGATACATACCCGTAAGATTTTGGATTATTCGTATCCGTAACCGTAGTCGAGAGCTTCTATCCGTGATATTATGCCACCGCCTAAATAAATCATACGATACTACGATAGAAACTTATCATCCGAAGTCCCTAATTTGATATCTAAATAGTTATTCATTCATTGATAGAATGAGTCTCCTACCACGCCCTAAACGCGCTCCACGACAGGATTACCTTGTTCTAAATGATGGTAGCGATGAGGAAGCTGATCCTAGTAATCGTATCAAAAAGCAACCACGTTATCACTCCCCATTAGATGAAGATGAAGATGAAGATGAATCTATCTCTCCGAATGATTCAACGAGTCAACTCCCTGAAACAACCTCTTCTATAGTGTCTACTCCTTTAGACTCTTCTTTGCCCAAGACACCAAAATCCAAAAACCAAGCCCTTTGGAGTCAATTTACAATCCGCAATCTTCCAGGGAAGTTCTGGCATCCTAAACGGGGTAAAGGGCCGTTACAGGACCGAGAGATTGTATGTATTCATTGTGGAGAATAGAAGATCTTGGATTCCTAGAGAGATACATCAACTTCTAATATGAAAACGCATCTGATGAAAAAACATGGATCAATGATATCATCAGCAACTCAGCAAGCATCTATTGTTTCTATATTTCGGACAAAAACTAGTCAATCTATGTTAGAGGCATTAGAGGAGAATTTGATTCGATGGATAGTCTTGGAGAATATCCCTTTCACTGCTCTTCAGTCTACAGCATTCCAGCAAATCTTTAGGGTAAGCTCTCTCTCTCTCTCTCTCTCTCTCTCTCTCTCTCTCTCTCTCTCTCTCTCTCTCTCTCTCTCTCTCTTTAATTATCTAAACTCACTTAAGATAGGTCTTGATAGCTATATTAGATGCCTGGCGCATATTCTGAATCTCATTGTCCAAAAGATTCTATCAGAGTTGAAATCTGGCGATTGTCAACCTTCTTTAGATGCCTGTGGTATCCTAAAGGACCATAAGAGCCTACCAGCTGGGCATTCTGCGCTAGCTCGTGTACGAATCTTAGCCCTTTGGGTATCTGGAAGTCCTCAAAGACAGCAGTAGTGGCAAATCATTTGTCAGACGCATGGATTACCTGATAAGCTCATTCGGTAAGCAAAATTCCTTTCTCTCTTTCTTATATATACTTATAGTTCTAGGTATGATATCGAGACATGTTGGAACTCGACATATCTTATGATTCAAGATGCTATCCTTGCTCAAGAGCAGATTAAACATTGGAATAATGTTCAGAATCAGCTGATACCATTTTCAAATGATGATTGGTCTAATCTTCGTGATCTTGCCATGGTTCTTTCAAGATTCCATGAGTTTACCCAACTTATCTCTCAGCGGCAACCTTATATAAGTCTAGTAATTCCTATTTACTATGAATTACATGACCTCCTTATAGAAGCAGCTTCTTTTAAAGGCGACTTTACAGGGCTTAGTCCTGATATCTCTTCTGCTGTCTTGGTTGGAATGCAAAAGTATAGGAAATACTATGATCTTATGGATATGCAAGATATCTATTATATAGCTCTTGCTCTTGATCCACGTGTCAAATTTGCTCTTTTAGAACAAGAGCTTGAAGATGTGGTTATCCAAGGAATCATTCAGAGCATTAAGGTCTTTCTTCATAAGAAATATCCCCCTTTGGCTACCTCCATCTCTAGTTCTACTTCTAGAACTATGGATCCTCCTGCTCGACCAGGTATGAGAGCTCGTCTTCTACAAAAAGTACATTCTCAAGAATTATCTCGGGCTTCTGATATTGATCGCTGTTTTGATGAGCCTCCTATTCAAGTAGAAGGATTAATAGAAGACCAAGATGACTCTAAGTGGCTGCTTTTGTGAAGGGCTAAAGCTAATCTTGAATTCAGAACTAGCTAGGCACATGCTATTTACAAAATCCTTGAAGAACGTGAACAATTCGGGGTGGAATCGTGAGGTATGCGGTTGGTGGGTCACGTGGTATAACCACGTGATAGTTCACCAGGATTCAACCTGTTACAATACCCCCTCCTATTCTCCTGTTTTCCGGGGTCCATTCGAAGTCGTAATTGGTCCGTATCGTAGTTCAAAGGTGTCGAGAGCTGTGCAGTTTTCCATTGCGTCGATAGGTTCCTATGTCAGTTCTGCGTATCCTCGCCATTTCACTAATGCTTCCCTCCGCGATCCACGTCCAATTTTTCGTGTCCTTGCTTATAGGATCTCTTTAATTTCGTATTCCAGATCTCCTTCGACTAACAGCGGAGGCGGTTGCGAATCGTCCACGATTTGTGATGGTAACGGGTCCGTTGCCGCGGGTCTTATTAACTTAATATGGAAGATAGGATGTATGCCGCTTAGCATATCCAGCTTCACTATATAAGAGGATGGCACTTCTAGAACTGTGTATTTGGCGTGGAGCCAGTCTAGTTTCTTTGAAGGCCGTATCGTGCGTACATTCCGTAGGTTTAGCCATACTTTATCGTTGATATTATAGACTAGAGCGGCTCGTCTTGAACGATTCGCTTGTTCCTGTTAGCGTTCTTGGGCGATAGCCATCGCTGCATTTGCCTAATCGGTGGCGTCTCGTAGCCGGTTCGTGAACGTTTCCGCTGCGATCTCTAGTCCTCTCTCTGCTTGGACTTCTATCACTTCGACTGGATCGACATAGTATCTATGTGTGAAGAAGAATGGAGATAGTCTAGTAGAGGTTGCGTCTCGGTTATTGATCGCCATGGCTACGATAGGTAGTAAACTTGCCTAGTCGTCCTATGCGTACATAGTAAAGGCGCGTAGAATTCGTTCGACTTCTTGATTTGCGCGTTCCGTAGCTCTATTAGTTTAGGGGTGGAATGCGGTAGATAATCGGCGTCGAATCTTTAGCTTTTCGCACACGATTCGCTAGAACCCCCCTACAAACTATGGGCCGCGGTCACTAGTGATCGCTATTGGTAAACCATGATGCATATAAATATGCTTTATAAAGACATCTGCGACGCTTTCTGTAGTAATACTATGCATATCTATTAGGATCACTCCTTTAGATAGCCGATCAGTAATTACTAGACAATTCGTCGCTCTTTCTTTCCTAGTAGGTGGAAGTTCTGTGATGAAATCTATGGATAGTTCGGCCTAGATTCGTTGTGGAATCGGTAATGGTTTAAGTAGGCCTTGCTTCGAATCTCTCTAAATCATGTTTCGTCCGTAAATGGTGCAATTCCTTAAGAATCTCTATACATCGTTCGTCATTCCTAGCTAAAAGAATCTATAGGCTAGTATTATATAGGTTACGTCCCGTCCTAGATATCTAGTCGTGTAGGAATCGTGGACCTTCTAGATCAAGGTTGTGCGTAGTAGTTCGTTGTCTAGAATCTATGTCCTTTTCCTAAAGCGTAGAAGATTTTGTTTATCTAAGTCACACTCGGATAGGCTTATTTTCAGGTTCGATTCGGCAGGGATTCGTCGGTCTCCTTTTTCAAGTACGAGTGCGAACTGCTAGTATATTTAATCTTCCTTCCGCGCGTTATTCTATACTTCCTGTGTTTCTGCTTCTTTAAACATCGCTACTAGTATATCAAAGTCTAAAGGTGGACTTGGTTTAGTGCTATTATTACGGATTGTTACTGATTCGAAGAGTTTCCGGAAACGATTTGTGAGCCTCTTATCAGAGATTCCTTTAGGTTCGTCTTGTCCTCGCTGGGATAGAGCATCTAGTTGGATCGCCTATTTCCTAGGTCGATATCATAGCTCAAAGTCGAATTCGGCCAGGATATCTGCCTATCTTATTTATTGTTCGCTTAGATCCTGCGCCTTATGAAAATATCGTAGATTTTTGTGGTCCGTTAAGACCATAAATCGCGGGACCATCTTTAGCTCTGGCTTCTATTCCTATAGCGCATAGATGATAGCGAGTAATTCCTTGTCGTATATCATATAATTAGTCTCTATAGGTGAGAACTTACGCGAGAGATAGGCGCATGGTCTTAGCATCCCATCTTCTTGTCTTTAGGATAAGACTGCTCCTATCGCCCATCCAGATACGTCTGTTTCCACTATTGTTTTAGTGTCTTCTCAGAAATAAGCCAATATTGGTGTAGAGATAAAGAGGTCCTTTAGGGTCTCGAATGATTCTTGTTTCTCCTTATCCTATTTAAATATCGTATCTTTCTTTATCAACTATACTAATAGTGCAGAGACATCTGCGAATCGTGGTATAAACGTCCGGTAGAAGTTAGCGAATCTAACAAAACCATATACTTCTCGGACATTAGTAGGTGCTTCCTATAGCTTAATGGCTTCAACTTTCTTTAGGTCTATATATAGACCTTCTCTAGCTCGTATGATAAACCCTAGGTATTTCATAGAGCTCTATTCAAATTCAGATTTCTCGATATTGTATTAAAGTCTAGCATCTCTTAGCTTTTAGAGCACCTCGCGTACTTTTCGTCTATGATCCGTGATCGATCCGTCGGAGTAAATAATGATATCGTCTATATATACTGATATAAACTCGTCGAGAAATTCGCGTAGAACTTCATTAATATACCGTTAGAAGGTTATAGGAGCGCTAGTCAGGCCAAAAGATGTAACTAGCTACTCATAGAGCCCGTATCGTGTTCGAAACGCTATCTTCTATTCTTCGCCTTCCTATATTCTGATCTTATAGAAAGCTGCTATAATATCGAGTTTAGTAAACCAGCGAGCCTTCGACATGTTTCGTAGTGTTTCTTAAATCAGAGATAGGGGGTAATAGTCCTTGATGGTTATAGAGTTTAACCCTCTATAATCGATATAGAATCGGATACCTCCACCAGGTTTTTGTATTAATAACACTGGTGAAGCTGCTGGCGATTTACTGACTCGTATGAATCCTTTTCCTAGTAGATTGGTAAGAGTTTTTTGTAGAACTAATAGCTCTTCTCTATTTATTCTATATAATAGCCTATAAGGTAGTATCGATTCGTTACTATTTCTATCGTGTGTTAAGGGTATCTTATGATCGGTCCCTAGGCGATGGCTCGGAAGCTTGTCTGCTTTCTCCTAGCTAAAAACATCTAACCAAGGGAGATATTATAGGGGAAGTTTAGCTCTCGGATCGGTGAATTTCTTAGGTTATAACGCCTTATCGATATCGTCTATAGTTACTTTAGCTATTCGGAGGTGGTCCGGCGACGAAACGCTATCGAATAGTTCTTTGATTTCTCCCGCAGATGATTATTGTACTTTTAATCTCTTTACTTTTATTAGACCGATTAACGGGTCGATATGGTTCTAATAACGAATGCGCTCTCTATTTCTCGAATAGATATCTAAATACCCTCGTTTCGCAGCGTAAACTCCGTCGATATCTTTTAACTAAGGCGTCCTAAGTATCATTTCGTCTAACTATCTTGGAATGATATAGGTAAAGACTTTCTGCTGTTGTAGTCCATTAACATCAAGATCGAAGTATATGGCCTAAGTGATCCGTCCTTGATTCTTAATGACTCCGTTCAGGATTCGCGGTGGAATCGGGATACGCAGAAGGTTAAGAGATTGCGCTAGGTGTCCGCTAATAGATATATAGCTATCGCTTCCGTTATCTACTAAAGTCTTCGCGAATTAAATTCCATTAACTCTAGCATCGATATAGAATAACGCCTCTTTCTTTAGCAGCTTCTTAACCCCCTTCTGCTCCTGCTCGCGGTTTAGTATAGGAGCTAATCTTTTCCCAAATCATTCTCCGCTTCCTCTTCTTTAATCGCTGGCGAATACTCCCTTCTTCGGGGGTGGCTCGATCTTGGTTCTTCGACTACTGTATTCCGTACCACCACTTGGTTCGGATTCCGTGCGGGCAGTAAAGGGCATACGCTTTGCTAATAGTTATCTCGACCATATTATAGACATCTCTTTTCTATACAGCGACGTTGGAGTTCTTCTTTCTCGACCTATTTTACACGTTTTCCTATAAGATGTTGATCCTCTTTACGAACCTGTCCCTTTTCGTTCACGAATCGGGACGAATTTGTCTATATGGTATTCGTGTTTATTATTAGAGTCTAGTCCATCCTATCCTCTATGGCTGTGGTTAATTAATCTCTTTAGATTCGCTGGCGAGTAGATAACTAGCGTCTGCCTAATACAATATTTAGTGTCTTACTATCAGTGTCGATTTTATGGAGCTATGTAATAAGACCTATAAAATCATAGGGAACACCACGATTCATAAGCGAATTCGTCATATCTTTGTTAAGAGCATTTAGTAAGAGTTATCGTTTTACTTCGTCGTGCTATTTGGTTACACCAGCATCTACGAGCTCTCTTTCTAACTAGGGAAGGAATCGTGAAAAAGGCTGGTCGGGCTTCTATTTAAGCTGATATAGACGCCGAGCTGCTCGTGACCGAGTGTTAGGGTCCCTATATATCCTCTTAAGATATTCCAGAAGTATATATAGGTTGCCTTCGCTTCGTTGTGTCTTCACAAACATTCCGGTGTTCTTGGCGGCCATTTTCTCTAGGCGGGAAAATGTATAGAGGAATTGCTCCTATGGGGTACCGATGGCAGCTCTATCTACTAGCAATTTGTTCTCTATCGAGATTCTCTAGGTTGGCCAATCAGAGATGTTTCCTACATACATCGCGGGGTCGGGGAGACGAGGGCGAGGTCGTCGAATCTGGTTATTATCGCTGGTTGATTCGATTAGTATCCCTTATGGTTCCGTGGGTGGTTCGGGAGCGGCTCGCTCCTAGGACCGAACCACTAATTCTTCGAGTCTTCTAATTCTCTCATCGGTACTAATACTTGTCTGACTGATGTGCTGCATCAACGTCCTAGCCCACTCAGGTGGGCTCGACGGTTCGCTTGCAGTCATGATGATGAAGATATTCGTTTTCTTCTTGTGTTTGAATTAGATGCTTTCCGTCTTCAATTCGTTTATCGGATGCTCAACTAGATACTTTCTAAGAGCGATTTCGTATTCGTAGGACGCTCAATTAGATACTTTCTAAGAGCTTTTCGTATTTGTTGGTATGCTCGATCGGATTCTTTCCGAGAGCGATTCGTTCGTCTATCATATGTGGCTCGATCAGATACTTTCTGAGAGCGCTTTTCTTATCGTCGGTCGTGGGTTTTACTCTCGTTAGAGGAAGGATTTTGTATGTGAAGGGCTAAAGCTAATCTTGAATTCAGAACTAGCTAGGCACATGCTATTTACAAAATCCTTGAAGAACGTGAACAATTCGGGGTGGAATCGTGAGGTATGCGGTTGGTGGGTCACGTGGTACAACCACGTGATAGTTCACCAGGATTCAACCTATTACAGCTTTCATGGTGGAACGCTCATAAGGATCAATACCCCAGGATGGCAGCAGTTGCAAGGGACTACCTTGGTATTCCAGCAGCTGAGGTTTCAATTGAAAGACTTTTCAGTTCTGTAAGGGATATCCTGGGTGTTCGTCGACAATCTCCAAACAGCAAGACTATGAGAGAGTTAATTTTGTTGAGAAATATATATAATATTGATTCCTAATTGAAATTTCTTTTACTTGAGAATTACATGAGATTTATAACTCTATAGACGTGGAAATATATATTAGAACTACATGTGGTTCTAGACACATGATATAAGCTACAGATATTACGGATATCCGTACGGATAGAGGGCATTTATTCGTAACCGTAACCGTAGAGATTTTATTCGTATCCGTAACTGTAGAATTTCTACAGTTACGGTTACGGATACTGATATCCGTAAAACCGTGCCGACCTCTAACAATATTCCTAACAGTCGGAAGTTTGACCTGAAGAAAGTAGTTCTTAATTTGTCCTTAGAAGCTATCATACGGGGGTTGCTGGAATGCACTGCATTCCACAGCCCGGGTTTCTATAGGCCAATCAGAAGAGCGGAAATAGTGGAGACATGAGTGCATTCCAGTAGTTCTTCACGAGTGCATTCCAGCAACTTCTACTATTTGTATGTCGGTTCACAGGGATCTCGATGCACCATTACTACTACGTTGTACGTGTAATAAGTTATGCGGTAAGATGTGTGTTCATTCTAAGTTCCCGCGATGGAATCGGGTATGCCTCGATTCCACTAGTTTCATTCCCTTCCCGAGTTCATTCACTTCAGCAAACCAGATTCCATTGGTTCCAATACTAGGGATACTTCAAAGTTTGTTGATATTGTTGGTGTTAAGTCTAGTCTTATCTTTCTCAACCCATCCCAGTGCTTCCGTGTTAATCTTGTTGGTCTCAACTAGTCGGCGTAGAGCGTTGTTGGCTTTGTGAGTCTTTGTCATTGAGTCAGCTGGGTTATGCTTTCCTTCGATCCAAACGAGTTCCATTTGTTTCTGTTCGTAGGATTATCTGAGGCTCATCACGTCTATCATAAGTCCCTTCTCTTGAGTTGTGCCAAGACGGACGATGCAGTCGTAGAGTGATTTTGAATCTGTCAGTGTGACAAGTGGAAATAGGTGGGGGTCTTTCCTGGGATTGAGAATGGTCATCATGTTGGTTAGAGTCGATTTGAGAGCGAGTGCCATATCAACTCCATTGCATGAATCCGTATAGCTTAGAGGCTAGGACGCTTCTGGTTATCCTCTTACACTTGATAGAGGACCAGTGTAGTAAGTTGGCTGCGCCTGTGTCATCTGCAAGTGTAATAACATATCCGGTTTGGGATGTCATATCCTTGTTGTTCTGCCAAGATAGACGCCGCTGCCCAGGAACAGGAGCCCGACCTGTTCCCAGACCCTATCCCAATCCCTCCAGTAGTGTTCTTCACGGACGGGAGTGGGTATGAAGGTATGATCGGGGCCTCCGCGGTAGCCCCACGAGAGGAAGCATGGACGTTAGAGCGCCAGCACCTAGGCAGCTCTGACCAGTCAACAGTATACATTGCCGAACTAACAGGAATTGAGATGGCGATCAGCCACTTTAGTAAGTCCAACCTATCCCCACACGAACTGGTTATCTTCGCAAATTCGCAGGCTGCAATCCAAGCTGTGCAAAACCCCAAACGTTCCTCCGGCCAACATGTTCTCCACGCAATTTATGCCCACATCCGTGCCCTCACGCCTAGCCACTCGGTATCAATCCGGTGGATACCCGCACATATAGGCGTGTTCGGCAACGAGCTGGCGGATTGTGCGGCGAAGGAGGCAGCGAAGGAAAGGGTTGCGGGGGAGGGGTCGGAGCCGGACCTATGTTCTTCCGGGGCCGGGGCGAGCCCTAAGTTGAGACTATCGACCAATGCCAAACGGCAGGTACGAGCACGAATTCGTGCAGAATAGGCGAAGCAGTAGGCGAAGGAAAAGACTAGGAAACCAAATCAGAGGCTAGTAGGCGTGCCGCATAAGAAGGTTCTGAAATTATGGGAGGGCTTATCGAGACAATACACATCGATTTTGATACAGATGAGATCGATGCGGATTAGTCTGCGCCACTTCCTATACAAAATCAACGAAGCGGAGTCGGTCAGGTGCAGCTGTGAGAAGGGCTCACAAACGCCGAGGCATATCCTCCTCCAGTGTCCATTATATATAGAGAGGAGAATAGAATTCATGCAGAAAGTCAGGCGGATAGACTTGACGGACCCGACGGACTATGAGGCCATCATGTCTCACCCATAGGCGATTCGCTACGTCGCCGAATTCATGTTATCAACTGGTCTTCTCGGGCAGTTTCGACAATATGATATTGAACCTGAACCCGACGAAGACACTGAACCAACACACCGGGATTGACCGGAACGGGCAAGGGGTGAAGACGATGCGTATCCAACAATAAAGTAAGCGGTAGCTGAGATACCAACCATAACAATAGCGCAAATAAGTAACGAACATGATCGAAGGAAGCGAGGAGGTGTCAACATCAGAGGGGCAGGGGAAGTGACTATAGACATCGGGAAGATACACAGGAGTGATATCGGTGATATTAAAACGTATATTGCATTGCACACTACATAGCAATTACATTCTGAGTGAGATTCGGTCTCCATTTTGGCTTTATTTTGGGATTTACTTTAGGATTTATTTCGGGCTTCACTTTACCTATACGGGTTCACACCCAATTTCTTTTGTCTAGTCACTCTCTACTGCGTGGGCACGGCGTACAGGCATATTCTTGCTTCGCACGGACGAAGCGCCTATATTGCCACAGCGACTCTAGCTAGGCAGCATCAGGTTAATAGAATATCATCATCATCATCATCATCAGCAGTGCCAAAGTTTGGTTAATTACTTTATGAATGGCGAGCTACTTAGTGATGATTTTCTTTTCAATAACTATGCCAGCGTGCCAGAAATGACCGATTGTACTCTATTCTCGAGAACCCACAGCTTTAATACACCCCTCAAGGAAAACATCGAATCCTTGCTCCGGGCTCATTTCATATTTTCGCCAGTGGCGCCTGATGAATGCTTTCAACTCGGAAAAATTCTCCTTGATGGGATTCAAATTAGGTTAATAAGGCGGCGGGTATGTACCCATGAGCCTCTTCTTGCTGAGCTGATAATTTTGAGAGTACAGTGCACTATGGTGGCTGTATCAGCGCACAGCTCAGCGTCACGCAACTCACAGTTTGTGATGATTACTAACGTGAGAATGATATAGGAACAAACCTATAGGCTTTTGAAAGGCTAAGTTATGTACGTAGCTGAACCCTCTGAACCCTCTGAACAAATCCACGCCTACCTTTTCACAAACCGCGCCAGGTAGGTCTCTACTCTCGCTACATCCCCCAATTCTGCCACGATCCCAACATACCCATCAGGTCGCACCACCGCCATAGCCCCCCTGCCTGGAGCGACACCGTAGCGAGTGTACGCATCTTCACCCTGAGCCAAATCCGAGCCGGAGCCGTCGAACAATCGCATCTCTGAGTACACCTTCACAGTTCTCGGAAGATCTTCCCAGCGGAAATTTTGCCGGACGCAGAGGCCTGGATAGAGGATTACCAGCTCTATAAGCGAAGGCAGAAAAGTGGGAATAAGTGATTTTCCGATTGTATTCAGGGTGCTGGATGAAATGCCGAGGGGGGCCAGGAAGTCGGTCGATGTTAGGACTAAGATACGGAAGCGGCCGGTGCTGGGGAAGCCTGTGCTGAAAGTGTTAGCTTCAATGTGTCGTTGACTTTATCTGGGTGAAGGTGTGGGTAAGGGAATGAGCTTGACAGACTATCTTGAAGATCCCGCGGCGCCCCATCGACGTATCTCTTCAGCTTCACGTTTGCAACTCTGGTTCCTGGGTGAAGAATGCCGCATAGATGACCAGTATCGGTGCCATGGATAGCAGGGGTAGCAGGGGGCTCGACAAGCGCATTCTCCGGGTACTGAATGCCACATCCGCTGATAAATCCCGCTAGAGCGCTGAGTAATCCATCCAGTTGCTTGGAGAGCGGCCCCTGAGCATCGCCAGATTTCTGCGTGCTTGCAATTGGCTGCGAAATTGCCGTGCTGAAAACCTGGTCAGCATCGAGAAGCTGCCGCGCGACTGCCCGCCGCTCGGTTTCGTACGTCTCTAGAAGAGGCGTCGGTGTTAAACCGTGGATGGAGTATGCGAGCTTCCAAGCCAGGTTATACGAGTCCATCATAGAAACGTTCATGCCCTGTCCGGCCTTGGGGCTGTGCGTATGACAAGCTATGTATTTGGTCAGCTTTTCCCCTTTTCTTTCTCTATTTGTAGAAGAAGGACATTAGGGATGCTCACCATCTCCCACCAGAAACACGCGAGGGAGGCCAGTTGAATCCCTCACGATAAAATCCTTGGTCATCCTCTGCCCGATGTGATAAATAGCCCACCACTCTACCGCGGTGCCCTGTTTCTGCTTTATACTAAACGGCCTGAACACCCGGCCAGCAGTCTCAAGTAAGCTTTCCAATGTGATTTCACTGCGCTTTGCCCTGGCTTCCTTCTCACTCATTTCCAAGGCCACCTCCCCAGGGATCTGGATATAAAGTCGGTTCAAATACTCCCCTGTTGCAGGTATCTGCTCCCGCGGTATAACAAGAATCGAGCTCCCTGCCGAGTGCACTGAAGAGAATCTGCGGATGTCAGGAAAGTCCGTATCCAGGATAAGATCGACGACACCCCACATGTACCCCAGCGAGTCCCCGACCAAATCAATCTGCATACATCGTCGCACGGTGGAGTGTGCACCGTCTGCGCCGACAATGTACTTGCTCCGCACAGTTCGACTCTGAGTTCCGCGCTGCCCATCGTCTGCTGTCTCAATAACACATCTGACAGGGTATTCCTGATCGCCGAGCTCGTCAATTCCCATGTCAATTAACTTTGTCTCTTTCTGAACCCCGCGTTTCGAATATCGCAATAAGTCCGCCTCAAGCATCTGCTCCATTCTCCCCTGATGCATCAAAAGCACAAACGGGTACCGGTACCCAGCGGTGAAATCCAATACTGGTTTAACATAGCTCTGTTTGATCTTTTCCGCGTTCCTGGGCGAGGGATCCCACCCACTGCGTTCCCAGCACTGGAATCCCTGGTCTCCTGTTAGATTGACTATGACATACCATACCACACTCTATGATTACCTTAAAAGGTATGGAACAACGCACCTCATTGATAACCTCATCCGCTAGACCCATAGATTTCAGCACCTCCAGTGTCCGCGGCTGCAGCGCATCTGCGTGTCCCGAACCAGGAATACCGCTCTTCTGGTCGATACATAGCAACGAATGCTCATCCCTTAGCCCATACCGGGCTAGGAGAGAGGAAAGTAAGATACCTGCGGGACCGGCCTGGTTATATTGGAACAGAGTCAGTTAGCCAGTCAGTTACTCCACCTGCAGAGTACGGCTCGGGATGCATATGCTGCACGTACTCCTACCACAACGACCTCAAATTTCTCTTTTTGACCTTTGTCTGCTCGCCTTGAGGCGATCAAGTCCGGCGTATAATTGGGTAGAGGGGGTAAGCGTAAGCGGGCAGCTTGTGATGCTGATGAGACCAGCATATGCTCTTCATCCACGGGCATGTAGTATGGCTGTACGAGAGGGAATACGGGGCTTTGGTTATGTTCTACGATAGATGCGGGTTTGGGATAAGAATGGAGAGGGAGAGAGATAGTAGGATGGAATCCCACCGAGAGACTGTTGCCTCAACGAGACTCGGCACGCAGGGTATTTACAAATGATGCGGCAAATGGGGAAACTCGGAAGAGACTGTCAGATATCTTAACGGCGCCTCATCGCAAAATTCGTCTAATCCACCAAAGACCAGATTTCTCTTGGTTTTGATCGATTGGTGGAAATTCCTTGCTCCTTTCACTCAATACTCATCATTCCATACTTCGAAATCATCTACATCTTGTATATTTTAGGCTACAAGGAATAAATTTTGATATTGATTGTTTAAGTCTCACCTGCACCATGATGGACTGGACTAGATCCTGACAATTAGGTCTGACATCCGCAGAACCCAGTCATGAATCTAAAATTGGTGATCAGGTTGGCATCATTTTTGGGTCTACGCACGAGAAAGGCTGATATCTGCACCGTCATGTATGCTGTAAAACTTCAACATATCTTTGGTTTCACTTCTTGCGTGTGACGGTGTAGCTGACTAGTGATACTGTTTAGATCTATCAGGATTCAACCTTCGATTAGTCATTAGCCTTGAGGGAACTTTGAGTAACATCCTCATGCTAACGGGGATTCTTTTGGCATGTGCTCAGCGTCTAAGTAGGCAATTACAAGGTAAGACCGGCGTTATACCCAAAAATATTTCCCTACTAGGCAATGTCTTAGCCAAGCTGTATTAGTGCGCTTGTTTTGGTAATTGATTAATAATCATGATCGCCGACCAAATTATAATGGTTTTCTATTGAACAGAAACAGGCTGGGTAGGAGATCTTGGGTCAAACTAGGTGGAACCCGGGGTCAGCCCAGTTCTAAAATACCAGGTCATCGCGATAATTAACAACAACGGTGAGCTTGATCATATCCAGTGGGCGGTCTGATCTATTGAGTGGGAAAAAATGGAGGTTGCCTTTGCGGGTGGTGCGAGGATATTGAGAAAGAAAGTTTAAAGATTTGAACTTGAAAATTTGGGTGCAACAAGAAGCGAAAGCTACAGGATCTTCAAGATAACACTCCTCATCCTCCAATCACTTTCACAAAGACCCAAAACTATATTCATATTTCAAATTACCGAACCAAAAATCACTGGAATCAGCCTTTACCATCGTCCAAGCCCTATCCAGAGCCGCAACCAACTCATCCGGCAACGGTCCCTTTTCAAGGTCCGCTAGGTTGCTCGTTAATTGATCAATGCTGCTAAAGCCAACAATGACCCCATCCCTACGGGTGCCCCTTGTAATTTGGAGCGCCGAATGATGAATACACCACCGCAGAGCAACCTCCGCCATGGAAAGCCCATATTTTCCAACAAGGGGCTGCAGCATCTCCAACGCAGAAAACATGCTGGGTTTGAAGTAGCGGTCACGGTAGACCTTGCCTTGGAATCCAAATGTGTCGCTGAAACGGCCCTCCTTGGGATTCTGTGAAGCGTTAGTGTCGCATGGCTTATATTTGCCACTCAGGAGGCCGCCCGCTAGTGGGTTGAAAACCACCACGTCGATTCCATAGCGTTGGCAGCAGGGTATGAGCTCGGCTTCAATTGTTCGTGCTATGTTGAGGTACTTAGTTGATATCCCACGTCGGCTGGCCATTTATGCCCTGTAAGGGTAGATAGATGGGCTTCTATCATGGAAGAGGCTAGGACAAGACAAGGGAACGCACCGAACACATTATAGACGGCCTGATATACCGTAGGTCTTACCCAACCACGCTCACAACACATAATTACGACCTCTGCAACCTCAAAAGCCGAGAAGTTACTGAGACCAAGCTTCTTAAATTTTCCATCACGGTAGAGCTGATCCAGTGTCCCAAACGTGTCCGCGAATGGAACAGACCGATCGGGTGCGTGGAGATAGAAGACTTCCACACTGTCAGTGCCCAATTCCTGCAGTGATTTGTTCAAGGCCTCGGTCAGTCGATGGGGACTGTGCGCGCCAGCCTGCCAGGGAAACCATTTAGTAGCGGCTAACAGTCCGCGTTCTTGCCACTTCGCCTGCCGGGTAAAGACTTCTTGTTGGGTGTCCGCGTAGAGGCGCGCCGTGTCAATCTCGGAGTAGCCGCTTTTCTGGAACAGGTCGAGACATGAGTTGAATTCTTCAAGGGTTGTGATGCGGGTCCCGGTGAGACCGGGTGGTCCGATAGTCATAAGGCCGAGGATGATTCGTCTAGGGGAAGTTAGGAGCGTCATTGGTTTTGCTTTCTTTGGCTTTGATGGCTGGTGGTGTAAGATATGACCGGGATCATGAAGTAGAAAGTGGATAGGCCAATGATATATGTGTATGTGAAGATCCATTACTGTGCAGGGAGCGGCCTATTTGGCTTCTATCTGCTGAGGCCTAGATGTGAACAGACTCGGGCATTATACACCTCCACTTGTACTACCCGAGGCTTAGCAGGCTTAATACGGGTTCCATTTCTTTTTGCAAGGGTGGCAGGCTTGGAACTAGCTGTGTAATGTCAAAGATAATATACGTCATGCTTTACATTTCTATAAAATTCTATTAATAGAAGTTCAATGAAAGCTTGATCATTAATGGATTGACTATGGTGCACTTACTATTTCAAATATCACGCTGCCTTAGCGCCACCTCGACAGTCCCAGCTTCTGTGGCCTAAAGCAAAGATTGTATCCATCCTGTTGCATTTTCAACCTTTAGTCCACGCATCTTCATTCTGTTGGCCACGCCAGCGTAGCTATGACAAGCAGCAATGGTCAAAATGAGACAGCCTTTGCTGTCAATAATATAAGCCAGCTTCTCGACAATGCATCCCGTTGCCAGACCGGCCTGACATTCTACGGAGAGTCTTCTTCCCAACCAATCCATGTCTCGTACGCGAAGCTTCAGCAGGAGGCGACAGAGAGAGCTTACCTCCTGCGTCATTTCTATACCTTAGCCTCAACGTCGGCCTCGAGCCCCTCCATTGTGCTCTTGCACTTTGACACCCAGTGCGAGGCGGTGCAATGGTTCTGGGCGGTGGTTTTGGCCGGGCTCATCCCATGCATGTCCACTGGCTTCGTCTACAATGAAGGCAAACGCAAGAAACACATCCTACATCTCCAGGTTCTGCTGGACAAACCCATGATTCTAACCAGCGAGCGATTGCTGCCGCAGTTCGGCGGTGTGGAAGGGCTTGCTCTGCAATCAGTTGAGTCCCTGGATAACAAGAGGCCAATGAACCATTCAATAAACTTACACGGCCCTCTCAAGAACCCCGAACAGATGGCCCTGTTGATGCTGACTTCTGGTAGCACGGGGAACGCAAAGGCAGTCCCGCTCCGCCACGGGCAGATCCTGGCCGCGCTGCGGGGGAAGGCGTCTCATTATGGGAGTCGACCGGCTGATGTGTTTCTAAATTGGGTTGGTTTGGACCATGTCGCGAGTATGACGGAGGTGCACTTGCTCGCGGTCAGCCTGGGCAGCGAGCAGGTGCATGTCCCTGCAAGCAAACTATTACATAATCCCCTTCGGTTCATTGAGCTGCTCGAGACTCACCTCGTCACATCGACATTCGCGCCTAACTTCTTCCTCACTAAGTTACGCGATGCCCTTGCAGCAAACCCCAAGGTAACGGCGGATTTATCTGCGCTGAGAAGAATCAACTCTGGCGGGGAAGCCAATGTTGTCGCAACGTGCGAGGCCCTTACTCGCCAGCTCCAGCAGCGGTGCCGTATTCCCAGCAACCTGGAGGTCATAAGCCCTGGATTCGGCATGACGGAGACATGTGCAGGGGCGATCCACTACACTGGCGGATTCCCGTCTGCAGACGTCAAGCTGGGCCTGGAGTTTGCGAGGCTGGGGACTTGCATCCCCGGTGCGCAGATGCGGGTGGTAGGCAAGAACAATCAGCATGCGGCATGCGGAGAGACCGGCGAGCTACAGCTCAAGGGCCCCGTCATCTTCACCGGATACTACAATGACCCGGTGGCGACTGCACAGGCCTTCACGGAGGATGGATGGTTCATTACAGGGGATCTCGCCCGGCTAGACGATTCGGGCAGCCTCAACCTCGCCGGCCGGATCAAGGACATCATCATTATCAATGGGGTCAACTGGAGTGCGACCGAGATCGAAACGGCTATTGAAGAGGAGGGCATCCCCGGCGTGACGCCCTCGTGCACTGTCATCTTTCCGTATCGCTACCCTAGTTCCCCGACAGAAGGTGTAGCTATTGTATATGTCCCCACGTTCGGCGAGGGTGAGGCCGCCGTGCGTTTTGAGACCGACCTCGCAGTCGCGAAGATCGTTGCCCTTCTCACGGCGCAAAAGCCAGGCCATATTATTCCGCTGCCGGTAGAGATGCTGGAGAAGTCGTTGCTGGGCAAGGTCTCGCGCACGAAGGTCCGCACTGCGTTTGTCAATGGTGTCTACGCCGCCATCGAAGAGCGCCATTTGGCTGCGGTCAACGAGTATCGGCAGTCAACCTGGAAGCAGTGCTCTACAGAGACAGAGCGTAAGGTTCAGGCCGTCTTGAGCGAGATACTACAGATTCCTGTGGAGAAGATCAGTGCTGACTCGTCCGTCTTCGAGCTGGGTATCTCCTCATTTGACCTGATATCACTCAAGACCAAGATTGCCGTGGACATTCCCATGTCTGTCCTCATGACACAGTAACCTTCTCTACTCTTGTCCACATTATTATGAGTGTGTGTATACTAATCAACCACCAGACCAACCGTCAGTGAAATCGCCTCCGCAGTCGACACCCTCTGCGATCTACCCCCAGTCTACAACCCCATCGTCCCCCTTCAAGTCCACGGCACGCAAACCCCCCTTTTCCTCATTCACCCCGGCAGTGGCGACATCCTTGTCTTCATCGCTCTAGCCGCCCAATTCCCCAACCGCCCAGTCTACGCCATCCGCACCCGCGGATACAACGCCAACGAGCCGCTCTTCCCCACCATGCAATCCACAGTCGAAACATACAGCTCGCACATCCGCAAGGTCCAGCCCCATGGGCCCTACGCCATAGCAGGGTACTCGCTCGGCTCAACACTCGCCTTCGAAGTCGGTAAGCTGCTCGAGTCCCAGGGGCAGGAGGTCCGCTTCCTCGCATCCATCGACTACCCACCACATATCCGGAAATATGTGTCCAGCCAGAACTGGCAGGACGTCGTCCTACATATCTCGTTCTTCCTAGAACTCCTCAGCGACGAGCTCATGGACTCTGCGAAAGCTTATTTCCTTTCCCGTGAGGAAAAGGGAAAACCTCTATCCCGCGACGAAACGCTCAGTTATGTCCTGGCTATGGGAAACCAGGACCGTGCGCATGCACTAGCGCTCTCGACCGAGATCCTAGGCCAGATCAGCGATATTGGTGAGAACTTCCGAATACATGGCGAGAATTATGAGCCGGCGGGGAGCGTGGACCATCTCGATGTGTTCATTGCGGATCCGCCGGGGTATGCGGCGCTGGATCGCCGTGAATGGGTGGATAATAAGTTGGGCACGTGGAGGGATTTTGTCAGGACGGATGTTGAGTTCCATGAGTGTCCGGGGATTCATGCGCGGATGTTGAATCCAGATCATATTCCGGAATTTGTGAAAAGCTTTAAGGCGGCGATGAAGAGGAGGGGAGTCTAACAAAAGAAGGACTCACCTTTGTTAGCTTTCCAGATAACGTATATCCACAAGCGAGTGGGGCACCCCAAAACACCATAGTAGATGCGACATTTTACAACCATATATCTCAGCAACCACCTTGTTGTTGATTTTATTGTCATTCGATAGCTATAGATAAGGCTTTTGAATGATATATATTGGTTTCAAGAACATCAAAAAGTTGCATGATCATGGTATTTAAAAATACGTTTCTCAATGCCAGAAATATATATATAGGAAGGATCAAAATCAGTTTCACCAGATAAACGCCAAGAACTGCATCACCATAATAGGTGTGAAGGGCTAAAGCTAATCTAAGATTCAGAACTAGCTAGGCACATGCTGTTTACAAAATCCTTGAAGAACGTAAACAATTCGGGGTGGAATCGTGAGGTATGCGGTTTGTCAAAGGCCCGATTCCATTTATAGTTAGTCTATTTTAGTCAGCATTGGAATCCCACAATGGGATTCCTCCATTCTACAATCTATACACATACACTCTTTGGTACGCATACTGCGTTCTCATTTGCCCACTAGAATCCACTATTCCTTGGTAGTCGACCTCCATTTGACAACCAGGATTCAACCTGTTATAATACCCCCCTCCTATTCTCTTGTTTTCCGGGGTCCATTCGAAGTCGTAATTAGTCCGTATCGTAGTTCAAAGGTGTCGAGAGCTGTGCAGTTTTCCACTACATCGATAGGTTCCCATGTCAGTTCTGCGTATCCTCGCCATTTCACTAATGCTTCCCTCCGAGACCCACGTCCAATTTTTCGTGTCCTTGCTCGTAGGATCTCTTCAATTTCGTATTCCAGATCTCCTTCGACTAATAGCGGAGGCGGTTGCGAATCGTCCACGATTTGTGACGGTAACGGGTCCGTTGCCGTGGATCTTATTAAATCAACATGGAAGACAGGATGTATGCCGCTTGGCATATCCAGCTTTACTATATGAGAGGATGGTACTTCTAGAACTATGTATTTGGCGTGAAGCCAGTGTGAAGGGCTAATACTAATCTTGAATGCAGAACTAGTGATGCCGACAAACTGTCTTTATTAAGCTTGAAGAGAAGAGAGAGAGACTGTAACAGGTTGAATCCTGGTGAACTATCACGTGGTTGTACCACGTGACCTACCAACCGCATACCTCACGATTCCACCCCGAATTGTTCACGTTCTTCAAGGATTTTGTAAATAGCATGTGCCTAGCTAGTTCTGAATTCAAGATTAGCTTTAGCCCTTCACATACAAAATCCTTCCTCTAACGAGAGTAAAACCCACGACCGACGATAAGAAAAGCGCTCTCAGAAAGTATCTGATCGAGCCATATACAATAGACGAACGAATCGCTCTCGGAAAGAATCCGATCGAGCATACCAACGAATACGAAAAGCTCTTAGAAAGTATCTAATTGAGCGTCCTATAAATACGAAATCGCTCTTAGAAAGTATCTAGTTAAGCATCCGATAAACGAATTGAAGACGGAAAGCATCCGATTCAAACACGAGAAGAAAACGAATATCTTCATCATCATGACTGTAAGCGAACCATCGAGCCCACCCGAGTAGGCCAGGACGTTGATGCAGCA